TTCGCAGTCGGAGGGCCTGAGCCAGAGAGCATTCTTTTGCAGCAGACGGCTGAGCATGTTCCGTACGTCATGCAGCGATGGAAGGAAAGTGCTATAGTAGTTGATAGGGCCAGGGAACGAACGTAGTGGCGATACATTCTTGGGCGCAGGCATCCGTCAGATGTCACGCATGTTTTCGGGATCTGGATGGCGACCATTAATGTCAAAAACAAATCCCAGTTAAATGATCGAGTCGAGGAAGAAGTGGCACTTGTCGGCCTGCAGGCGGAATCCACATTCCTGCATGCGCTAGAGTGCCGCGCACATTCGATCTCGCAACTCGGCAGGAGAGCGACCCACATTGATGATGTCATCCAGGTGCCCAACAGTGGCAGACATGTCGTCGAACATTGCGTCATCGTTTGTTGGAATAGGCATGGAGCGGTATTGACACTAAAGCGCAGCCGGGTGTAGTTTGACAGACCGCGGTGGGAGTTGATGGCCAAAAATTCGCGCGAATCTCGGGTCACCTCGATCCGCAAATACGCGTCAGCGTAATCTAACTTGGCGAATCAAGTGCCACCATTCAGCAGGGTGAAAAGGTCAGCCGGCGCCGGCAGTGGATAGCAGTTCGGCGTCAGCACGGCATTAAGACCGGTGGATAAGTCAGTACAAATGCAGATCGAACCATTGGGCTTCTTAACCACAATGATTGGAGCAGATCAGTTCCTCCATACGCTTCAGTTCAGCCTCGACATTTAGTAGGACTGCATACGGAACTGGTCGCTTTGGACGGAAGACTGGTTGACTTCCAGGAGACAGATGCAGCATGACCTTTGTGTATTTGCAACAAGCCAGGCCGTCTTGAAAGACCGGCGCACATCTCTGGAGAATGTCCTTGGCTTGGTCTGGAAGCATAGCGGGGGTCTGCATCTGACTGCAAACAACGGGGAGCAGCATATCGGCCAAACGAAGTTGTTCAACCCAGTTGAGACCAAGTAGATTTAGGTCAGATGTGGGGACGTAGCAGATTGCAGTGATGCTGATACCGTGGACTGAGACACAGCACTGAAGTTGCCCCATTAGCTAGACTCCTAGCAATATATAATCAAGATTTTATCATTTTCGACACTTCATCTAGCACACCCATGCTGACGACATCAAACCATCCAGAGTTACTGCTGTCAAAATGTTTTCCACCGCTTTTTCGAGTTTGGGCAAACCGTTCGAGGGCGAAAACCCTATCCCCTAAATAAACTTACTAGCGTGACTATGCCAATCATTTCATAAATTCCGCGGGAATGGATGCTCGTTTCAATTTTATGATTAACTATGACTTGGAGACGCAAGCCATCTGCACGGCAACTAGCACGTAGTAAAACGCCAACTTGTTCTCCTAGACCAATGGAATTTTTCCTTTGAGTGGCAGGTTGTCTGCCAGTAGAACTCGCTCCAAAGCGAGATGGTAGCCGTCGATTAAGCGGTTTTTGAAAATGTCGTCAGGGTCAAAAATTATATTTAAGATTAGTCCTGACATTCCGCTTTTAATTTATGGTCCTACTACACAGCATAATTCAGAATTTATAATAATGTGCTATCAACTACATTGCTAACGAATGCGTTTCATGGTTTTCCCATGTGTAAGTTCAATTTTACTCTAAAACGCCCATCAAAACTCCACTTGCAATAGAAGAATGACATACATATTTCATTTGGTCAAAACAGGGTGCTGTTCATCCGCGTAGTCTCTTTATCGTATTAGTAACACACGCGTATTACAGCTGGTTCAATACCACCCGCCAAGACGATCACCAGAGTTTAGGCCAAAAAGTTGCGAGAGGACCCTATATGTAAGCGCAGTAAGATAGGTGTGAACGGGCAAATATTGTCAGAAGAAAGGAAGTAAAGCGGGATAGACAATGCGGAGCATATCTTGTTAGCATAAATTTACATGCAGCCTTGGAAAACCTTTCGAGCGGGTTCTCCTGCTATACATGAATGTGCGATTTCGGTAGGCAAAGATTTTGGGCGCAAGATGAGCCTTTATAAGATCGTACTGTCTCATTTCCAGGTCCGGGTGGCACAACATGCTTAACCGCACAAAATGTTAATTTACACATACCGCAGGGACCTGGAGTTAAGCATTATCCAGTAAACGTGACAATAGCATAATTTGTATCTCTGATCGATTTGGTCCGATATTCAGATGTGCAATTTTGAAAACAAAATGCCGGTTTGTTTCCGTTAGCACACATTGCCTGCTGCGTATACGTTTACGTCACAACAGGTATTGAATTATTTAACTCTAGCGGGTTTCAGTTTTCTGTTCTCATCTTCTCGCAGTGTATTAGGATGGGCATCGCCAACGGAGCACATGGGTTGCTGATAAATGTCCAGCCTTTCTTCTTCTTCGAATGCTTTATCTTCAGGCTGCTAATGAACACTGCAGACCCTTGCTTAATTTTCATAAAAATTCTCATTCTAACGGATGGAAAACAGAAAATTTTGCAGTCCTTAATTACCTTATAACTCTTGGGATTTTGAGTTTGAAATTTGCATCGATAGGGCATTCGTGTTTGCATTACATCTTCAAATAGGAGAGCAAGTACTAATGAATAAAAAAAGGTGTTTAATACGAAAGTAGCCTGAGTGCCTCGTGCCATACCCAGGTGCTAAAGCGTAGTCGGCAGACATTGACTTTGGAATTCTTGTGAGGGGAAACTCGTTAGAAATTTCGTAAATCAGAAGCTCCCCAGTTATTTGGGTGCTTTCCAAAATTTATCTGTGCGAGACGGAAAACTCGAGACAGACATCACTGTGAGTAACTAAAATCCTGAATATTGACTGAGACATGACGCAATGTGCCAGCCGTACCGCATGACACCGAAAAGTATTAGGAAGATAGAAGGGAATAGAAAAACAAAAAAAAAATAGTAAAATGCGCAGAACAGAAAATGTGTGTAAATGAGCTGCGAACTATTCCAAAAATGAAGCGTCAAAACCATTTAATCATTCAAAGGCAATAAGGGACAACAAGAATTGTTCGGCTAACATGGCTTTTCAATTCAGTTTATTGAGCGAACTAGGCGTAAGCCTTTGAGTACCCTATTTGCAGCGTAAAACGTGGGATGTACAGAGAAATTATCTCTGCTGAAATAATTCAATCGAGCCCTTAATGGTATAACAAAAAGGAAGTGAGTCTCAGGGAATATGCTCGAACACTCATCGCTGCTGGCCATTTCTGACATACAACTGTCAAGGTTCATTTTAAACCTTTGCATCGATGGTGACGTCAAAACATGCGCAGGGAGAGTATTTCATGGTTTAATCACTCGGACAGAGAAGGAGAACTTCCGCACATCCAGCCCTGCCTGCGGAGTGCGCATTTTAAATGGGTGACCTCGGAGGTTGGTTGTAGTAGCAAATTCAAAAAAGTTCTTGAAGGCCAGGCTGCAGTCCAACCCCTTTACAATGCAGAAGGCTTGCAACAGATCTCCGCGAAGTTGTCTGTAATTCAAACGAATGAGGATCAGATTTCCTGGGCGGTTTGCATAAGGAAATGAGCTTTGACCCCTAACCATCTTCGTGGCTCTTCTCTGAATTCTTTCGAAGCAACTTCGATGTTGAACTGCCTGAGGGAAGATGAAAAATATATCCTTGTTGGCCTTTGTCGGATAAATATAGGAGCACAATAATAAATACAACAGACGGACTGTAAATTCACAGAAAATTGGCAAACCTTTAGTCACTTTACATCATGAGTTAACTCTTGCATGGTTCCGAGTTGTTCCTAACAGATGTTTGTATGAATAACTCATTTGTCCAAAATGCCTATTATAATTAAAATTTTATAACCTAAATTTTATATGGTTTTATTTAAGTCTGTGAATCTTGACCGAGCTCCTTTTCGTTTTACTGCGCCAAGTTAGAGGTTTTGCGTCGGTGAGCCAAAACGTCCGATGTTTGAATAACCAATGTTTTCCCAGCTGACCTCGATTTGTTAGAACATGTCCGAATTGGCGGCATGGCTTCCGTTTACCCGCGCCTCTGCTATCGGCTGGATACCCTTAGCTTCTTCACCTCTTCCTGCTCCCAAGCCCGTATCACACCTGCATAACGCCGATGAGATACTGCACATAAACATCAGCGGTGTACGTTATGACGTATACCGAAGTACACTTGAGAAATATCCAGACACACTGTTGGGTTCGAGTGAAAGAGAATATTTCTATAATGAAGAAACCAAAGAATATTTTTTCGATCGTGATCCAGATATTTTTCGTCATATACTTAATTACTACAGGACAGGATTGCTTCATTATCCAAAAAATGAATGCGTAACAGCCTATGATGATGAGCTCGTTTTCTTTGGAATAATCTCAGACATTATGGGGGACTGTTGCTATGAAGAATATCGTGACCACAAGCGAGACATATACGAGCGATTGATGGATGATCATGAAGACGACGCACTGATTTTGGCTCCATGCAAAAATTTGCGCGAGAAATTGTGGCGAATTTTTCAGAATCCTCAGTCTTCGACTTCGTCGCTTGTTGTGTACTATGTGTGCGGATTTTTTATTGCTGTTTCCGTTCTGGCGAATATTATTGAAACTATTCCTTGTGGCGTCGACCAGAAGACTGGAAGGAACCCCTCCTGCGGTGAAAAATACGAAAAAGCATTCTTCTGTCTCGACACAGCTTGTGTTCTCATTTTCACAGTAGAATACTTGGCTAGGCTTTATGCCGCACCTGATCGGCTCAAGTTCCTTCGGTCCGTAATGGCTCTCATAGACGTTATAGCCATTTTACCTTATTACATCGGCCTAGGACTACCTGAAAATAAAAATTTGTCGGGTGCATTTGTGACACTTCGGGTTTTCCGGGTATTCCGAATTTTTAAATTTTCACGACATAGTCAAGGGCTGAGAATTCTTGGTTATACACTAAAATCCTGTGCATCGGAACTGGGATTTCTACTCTTCAGCTTGGCAATGGCTATCATCATATTTGCCACAGTTATGTATTATACCGAAAAAAGTGACGCGGAAACGCGATTTGTCAGCATTCCTGCCGCATTTTGGTACACCATTGTAACAATGACAACCTTGGGGTAAGTTGATTCGAAATATTATCTGATGCCTCATTTGAATGTTTTACGTGATCTTTCAACAATCACTTTATTGCTCTTGTTTCCCCTTCGCTCATTAAGTCCGAAACCACATACGGTTTGTATGAAATGTAATTAGTAAGCACGATAAATACGGCGTTTCTTAGCTAAGTAGTGCGCGGAAAATAAAGAACATTGGAGGTGTGGAGCTGCAGATCCGCCGATTCCCTTATTGCTTATCAAACCCCTTATCTATGAACAAGGTTGCTATGCAGCAAATTATATTCGCTAATATGGTTTATAGCTTGTTGTGAGTAAGAAATATTTTAGCATTGTGATATATCGCAGTCTAGGTTAAACCACTGAGTATTATAATGAAAAAAATTATATCTGTTTGCAAACAAAGTTTGAAGAGCACTGGGGTTGTTTTCATCGCCTAGAAATGTAGGTGTATGGTAAAAGCCTTCTTGTAATTGTTAAAATGAAAAGTGAGTATATTTATTGTCAGAACGACAGTTGTGGATATTACGAAAAGACCAAGTGCCTTAGTCGCATTCGGGGCTGATATATTATCATAACTTTACATTGACGAAAATTGTTTACTAACTTCATTATTTTGCGGTTAATGTCCATACGCTCTTGCCAAAAAATAAAGCATGTAAACAAGCCTTTAAAATTTACCAAATAAATCACCTTGGTATCGTTTAGACAAGTATCTCAGTATGTCCTTGCGTAATTATTTTTTAAAAAGGAGAAGACAAACGCCCTTAAACTAGGTCGTCAATGTGGCAAATGTATTTGCTAGTAAAATGGAATTAGAACTTACCATCACTGTGAAATTTGTAGCTGTCTTTTGTTGAACATGCATGCAAATACCACAGAAGTAACATGTCAGCAACAAAAGACAAGAAAGTCCTACTATCTGTGAAATTATTTCGGTTAAAGATAATGACATTTAGCCATTTTGCCTTTTGTTTTTACGAGAATGTATGCACAAATCAGTTCGGTGTTTGGATAAAACGGCAATTTTGTCGTCATTGCTAAAAACAAGGACAAAACCGTCAGTAAGGCTTTATTCCTTCTTGAGGTCTACTGTACTTTAGCTGACGAACCTGACTTTGATGCAGCAAAAATGTACAGGCATAAGGACACGCAAAGTAGTCTTGCAGCCGAGTTGTGGTTTGTGCAAATACACAGACTACTATGGACACAGCAGTACTTTTAAAAGATCACTCACCAAACTGTGGTTTTAATTACTTTCAACATTCTTAGTAGGTCATGTTTTGTTAATACTACCAGATGTTCCTCTACAATGACGTAATCAGACACACAGAAATTTTCAAATATACAAAAATACTGGTATGTGTTCTCGGAACCGGCGTTATCGTTGTGGCTTTGTGTTCTTTAAGGAAGAACAACATGAGATTGCCGTGATACAAGCAATGTAAACCAACAAGAACTTGATTACCAAAGGAACTGTGAGGAATTGCAACAGCGCGAGCGCAGATATCTGGAACACCTAGCGCTTACTAATTCAACTAGGTTAACTCAACTATCCGAGATAGTGATAAAGAAGCACACGAACAAAAATTTTGACATTTGTGATTAACGCTTAATGCCTGGTGATGTACACATGTATGCTATGTTTTTGTCTCCTTCTTATGAACTGACTTGTTTTTATCCTTGTTTGTGCTTTTAAAATTAGAACGTAACTAAGTTTAGAAAGATGCCACTGAATTTTCAGACGTCAGATTGGAAGACGTAGCTAAGTTTTGAACACTGTCTTATCTGTGCAGAGATAAACCTGTTCGGATTCTCTAGCTGCAAGAGCCAACAGCCGCTCAGCCGAAAGTCTGCGTGAAAAGCACATTAAATTAAGCAGTCTTTCGGAATTCGCTTATTCATGTAGTTCTCTTAATTGCTCATTTTATTGTTCTTTTAGTAGTTCTTTTTCTGGCTACCAACAGAGATGTTACTTTTCGATGAAACTGAACACGGAATACATGAACACATAGCCTAGATTCTTTGCACACTTTAATAATCTGTCGATTTTAAATGTTGTTTTCGGCGCATTTAAAACAATGGACTAAGTAGTGGTTTTGGCACTTGGCAGAATTTTGTTGAGCACTACCCTTTTCAATCATGAGAAACCATTACACCATTTCCTTCAACCCTGATTATGTATTGTGCTTTCTATTGGTCCAATTATGTAAAAGTCTACAACCTCGTCGGATTCGAATCCTTAGACAGAAAAGACAAGGCTCTCACCATCCAAGCCGTGAGGCCTCTTTCAAGAGCCTTGAGTTTTGTAAATGTTTACCGAATGGACTAAGTCAAATCTATCAAAAATATCTGTTTAAGAAGCGCGTTTTGGAAGCAGTTGGTTGATTTTAGATTGCTGGGAAAACGTGCCGGGCAGTCAGCTTACGTTGCAGTACTTTTAGCGGACAATTTAACACACGTGTGCAAAACTGCCAGTTCTCGGTATGGCCTCACGGCTCTGACTGTCAGTACATTAACTGCGCTCAAATTTTGCCCTTCGTGTCTCGAATTCCGATCCAGAGAGAGCGAGAGCAATACGCCCTTCTCTAAAAGTGTAATTTTGAAGTATTCAGCGAAAGACTTCTGCATTTTCTTCAGTCACTGTAGAAATCAGTACATAATACCATATTAAATGGGTTTGCGTAAATCTCTTAAACTCTTATAGGAAGAGTTTGAGTCCCCGTTCCTCTAGTTCAGCCTCTTAACACGTCAGTTTTTATGCTAGAAACCACAGTACGGAACGTTGGTATGCGAAACAACTTTGCAGCAATTAATTCTGGGAGAATGGTTTGTATGGCGGCGTCCGGACTACATTTGCAAATTACTTGACGATTGTGAAATGTCGTTGCACTTTTATATGAACTAAAAAACATAAAATACGCCAGTAATAGAACAGAACACTCGAGAAGGCGTTTTTAAGCAAAACAGTAGAAGTAGTAGAATTTTGGCGAAGAGAATTTCAACACAAAAGGAGAAGGAGACACTTGAGGACAGAATAAAACCAAGGTACCAGAAAGGTGATATGTCTTTGGGGAAAATGTCAAAGGATTCAGGAATGGGAGAGGGCCAAATCCAAACAAATAGTGGACTGATTTCGAATTATTGAGTAGAAGACCATTTTGCAATGACTATGCAGAGACATGGTTTGAACCATCCTTCAGACAACGGAGCTTAGTCTGATTTTTAGAAGAATGGCCAACGACCACTTGGTCATCAGTGTGAGTTGCGAAGAAACGCAAGGATAAGATGAATCCTTGAAGAACTTCACAGCCATGAGGAAAAGTAGTTAATTTTGACTTGCCAGGTTGGACTCATTCAGTGTGGAGGGCAAAATGACCTCTAGTCCAAGAGAGAGTCCAGTCTGATTGCCGATTTTTCACAAATATTGCGACGGAATTATTCAAATCTTACAAAACGCCTATGGAGTATGCTACTTTATCGTCTGGAAAATGCACACGTTTTATCAGGTAACATGTTAGTACTCCAGATGTCGAAGAGTGTTCATGTACCGAGTTGCAAATCGGCCTGTTTGTATTCACAAATTCTTACATATTTAGTTATCTGTCGCAAGTGGTATATCATGGGCTCAAAGACAGTAAATTGGGTGTTAAGAACATAAGTAAACAATTGTCAGGAATCAAATTTATGCTACAAGGGCAAAATTACACGCTAAATCCCCAATGATTTTATCCAAGATATATTCGGCAATTAGGAAATCTGGCTTGACGTTCCACAGGAAAAATCATTTTTTAGGCAACGGTTTTTTTAAGATTTCTTGTGCCCCTGTAAGGCAAATGGGTCACAGCGGGATCATTCGGATCAACTGACAAAAACGCCCCTATAATATTATAGAAAGCATCTTTTGACGCTGTAAATTAATTTGCTTGATTGGTTTCTCTCCGGGATCAAGGCCTTTTTAGGTTGCTGTATTGTTTAGAAAATACTCATTTTACTTCGAAATGTCCAAAGGCGGAGAGAACTTTGGCACCGAGCTGTGCCTTGTCCTACTTAGATCCACAACACTTTGAGGTACAGTCAAATGTTGGAAATCACGTTTATTTTAGAAGGTGAACTTTACGCGCCAACTTTTTAAATAATTCTATCTGCGATTAAAACGTGAAGCTTAACGTGACACACAAAAAGGGACTTCTAAAACGACGGTGCTTTTAATATTTCTGTACGCTTATAAGACGCTTAGACTACAGCGCGGACATTCGGTTCAACTACTGGAAGTGTTTAGATAGTATTAATGAAAAATAATTTGTGATATAGCAGGTTAACTAAATTGAACGTTCTTTTCACTGAATCCAGTTTTCCTCCAGATTACACGGCGCACAGTTTGATATACGGCCAAAGAGAAATAATAAATTTCCGATCGGAGGTGTCCCTGCCCACCGGATGCTTAATTAACTGAACAGTGTCGTTATTTCAAAAAAATCCTGCCTAGCATAGCCTGGAAAAAATGTGGCCTTTTAAAGCCGAACCGATGGACGAAAGCACCAATGTCCTTGAATTTCGGAGAGACTTACACCCTCACTTGGGGGCGGCGAATCGCTAATCCGTTCTGATAGCAGGATCTAGCCAACGCATTTAATTTAGCGATGCATCCGAGGCTTGTGCATTAGCAAGCGGCGATATGATGACCAGTAATCAACAGTCGAAAGAAGTCTACAAACAACTGCTGCCTTTGGCAATTCTGACCGTTTTACGAGCGTTGACTTCACGAGATATGATCAGTACTGACGGAACCCATTAGTGAGCGCTTAACGCGGCAGTTCGCGCACGGAACTTCAATTGACCCGTAAGCTGTGTTTTATGGCTTAAAGATCAGAAGTATGCCAGCCCAGTAAGTTCCGAATAATGACTGCAGATCGGACAGGCCTTAGTGACGCCTTAGGATGCTTAATTTTTTGTGATGTACTACAGACCTTTCTTTAGGAAGGGTATTGATAGCAAGCTCTTCCTTTGGAATTTAAATTCCATATTTTCGAGGGACGGCGCAATAACCATATGTCTTGCACAGAGTCGTCAGTAGTCCTTGGGTGGACGTTATAAATGATTTTTCTGATTTTTTGCGATATCAGCCGCGAGCGAATCCTAGTTTGGCATTTGAGTCAGTTGCTTTGAGACCACGTCCAAGCGAAACTCACATGTGGGCAACATGCCCTAACCATTCCCATTGCTACCATGAATTTTCCATGTGAAACATAATTGAAACCAACCAATATATTCTGACCGAAACAAGTCACTAACTGCGGATATTTGCACCTCAGTTAAACATATAAATAAATACCAGACATAAGGAAGTATATAAAAATCGGTCCGTTGCGAATGTGTAGGTGAGATTTAATATATACAATAGAAGATTATGAATAAACGTATCCCGAACCAACATTTAGGGGGCGCTACATATACGGGCACAAAATTTGTATAACAAGTCATAAAAGGTCATGTCCTGTGTGTTTAACCCCCATTTTAGTAATGCTTTTTTGAAAGTCTAATAATAGGCTATTGACTAGGTCAAATGCTAGAAATACGAAAGCCTATTCATAAATGATTGCACGTAATAACTTCAGTGCACGATTGAAGCAAGTTGGATGTCACACAGTCAAGTTAAAATATCCAACCAAGGATTCTTAAGTTGTCTCGTTGTCTAACCACCTGAATCGATAGATTTTGGTCATGACTACAGGAAGCACTGAGACAAGACAACACTTACAATCCCACCCACATAGTTGTGGGAGCCAGTAAATGAGATGAATAAAGCGTATTGGTGTCACCTTTCCTCCCAAAGGGGTCTCGTAGTTTTCTAGAGAAATAAGTACTCACCATTCTAGAAAAAATAATTTCCACTTATATAACACTAAGAAGTATAGGTCACAATCATTCCGCATACCTATTTTAATGACTGTGTAGATTTTGTAATATCCAACACTTTTTATCCACTGAACGCGTCTAGTATTTCTAACCAGCCGTATAGTTTAGCGCGATATTCAACAACCCTTTGGAGGGTAAAGAGTTATATGTGGTAAGCGTATTTCACAATTCCTGAAGATATTTTCTGAAAAGTCCAGTTGTACACCCTTCAAATGTAAATTCTTCATCTTTTCATGGCCGAAAATGCATCCTCCGCCGTTCTAATGATTCAACAGAGGGTGAATGAGGTGTCACGACGATAGATGGGCGGTTGCACCAGGGGGCTCAGTTGCGATAGCCGATCAGTTCTGTCCTAGTCCATCAATCATCCCCATCCATGTTTTGCTTCACCGACTTGGGTAGCCTGCATGTCTTGTCACGTGGGCAGTTTGTACACCCAAACGTACGGAATGGTTCGGTCATTAGAGGGAAACCAGCCGGGCTGTGACACCAGTGGACGGTGGCTTCATGGGGGTTTATAGTCACTGCGCACTCCCCCTTCGCCAGTCGCCTTGATTTTGTCTTGTCATTAGTCCCTAATGTTATTTGAAAGAGAGCGAGAACTCGACACAGTGCAGGACTCCTGCAAGATAGTTCAAGCTACGAGTATGCTCCCTTAAACATCCATTTCCATCTGATATGTTGAGGAGAGGGTGACGAAACGTACATCTGAAGCGGGGTAAAATGAAGTCAAACATGCCACCAGGTGCCTTACCACTAATTAATTAAATCCTACAACCGCTGCCTGGATGTTAGTGAACGAGTTTCTAGGCGTAAAAACGCACATCGTGCCCTTTGTCATAAGATGCCGATAAGTGCTAATCCTTCCGCGGAACCCGGCCATATTTTCAAGTTTCAGGGGGCTGAAATCCTTACAAGAGCTGACAACGCGTGAGCCGTGAGCTGATCAAATCGTGGTTTTTCTGCCCGCGATCCATCAACAAGCGCAATGACCTCCCAGTACCATATTCATTGTTGAGACATTCCCTGAGTAGGGAATCAGGCACGTGGGAGGGCGTGGGTCCTCAACTATCTTGGCGACAGCGGGCTAGATTGCCGAGTAACTATCACTTCAATATCTAACAGGGATGATGAAATTACAGTAATTAAGGACTCGGACGCGGACTGACATGCAGTCATCGCCTTAATTAGGTGGCCACATAAATCAGCCTTACCGTAACGAATTTCTTTGTAAATTTTCGATGGCGACTCCGCGAATCGTCATCAGGCACGTCTGAACTATGCAAAACAAGTGACATTCAAACGTGTCTGTCAAATTCACGGTCGACCGTAGTTTGCGTTTTTGAGCGTTCGTTGTATGTCACAGTGCTGCTTAGATTGACAGTCCCTCATCCACTTGCTCCTGAGCTTTTCGTACGCGGTATCCCAATCGGTATACCAATTGATGCATGATTAATCCGCATGCATGCTCGATCTTCCTTGGCAGACAGACTCAAATCATGCGAGTTCCGTCTCAGGCAAAAGTGTGGCCAGTAATCAGACCACGAGTTAAGTACTGCTCCTCGCAGTACATAGAAGGCGGTGCCGGTGCTTGCGTCCCACTGAAAACAAGGTCTTTCACGTAAGTTAATTATAGTACGCGTATGGTCTCACGGCACATACGTACTATAAATACTGCAGTCTTTGTGCCTCCACTGCTCTTATCTGCAACCGTCTCTGATGATGGGTTCGAGTGAGAATCTGAAGCGTCAGGCCGATAAAGTTCTTGTTCCAGTCATTGCACTTTCTTCTTCTTCTTCTTCTTCTTCTTCATCATCTTCTCCTGTACTGCTTCCTGGAATTTGCCTGTTCGCTTCTGTCGGTAAAGTCCAGTTTCAGATCAGCAAAAGCGTTCATTATTTAATAAGGGATGTGTGTAAGAGAATAAAGCGGTATCTAAACTTGTTAGAAGAGGTCGCACAAGCGCTCCAGCTCTGTTCTGTAAGGCAACCTCTTGTTCGACTGCCAACACTAATTGCTTATCTACGTTACTTTGGGTGGACTATGCAAAGGCAGGGGAAAACAACCACATTGCTGTGGACGATGAACGGTCCGGTCAGAGTGTACAAACAGGGTGAGAGTGTGGGTACAATATGTTGAAAACAAACTAAAATAGGTCACATGAAAGGCATGGTAAACAGTAGAGAATGCTACCCACCTAGACGAAAGATGCTGGATAGATTTGAAGCAGAAATGCGGAAGCAGGAAGATACCATCTAGCGCAGACGCGCCACCTACGCTGATCGGGTAATCCAACTGTTTACACAACACTGGCCTTTCCCGCGGCTGCTGCCTGCCACACAGAAAACTGGTCATCCTTGCCCGACAAGACGCCATCGCCGCCAAGATGGAAGCAGTCAGTTGGCCAATGTGCCGTGAAGACCCTGTCATTAGAGATCTCGGTATCCTGTTTCACGCGCAACTAGAACAGCTCTGAGGGAGATTAGGTAGAGGTGATTGCTAACTGTCTTTTCTTTGTGTGCACCCAATGCGTATGTACACTCACAACTACAAAACCCCATAAATGTGTTTTAAATTGGCCTGCATCGATGAGACACACTTGCGTCATCTGACCAGAGAGGGGTAGTTGTAGCGGCCAAGAAATTGGCGGCGGTGCATGCATTTTCATTTGTGCAATGCAGCTCACTCCTGTTTGCATCGGAGACATTATTTTATTTGAATGAAAGACCGCGCCGAGTTTCATGAGTGTCTGCTTTCCCTTAGCTGTCAGGTTAGATTTTTCTGCCTGACCTTTGTTTTGCCAAACTTCTGGAGGCTTTCACGAGCGGCCGACCTTTGCGTGTTCGCACGCTGTCCTGGTTGTGCCTTTGATTTACTTTAGGGCGTTAAAGACCATACGACCAACAGGCTGATAGACTAGACCGAAAATTTGTTGAACGAGAAGGCTGGTGGTTGCAGGTTTCTTTGGCGGTGACAGTCCCCTTGCTCATACAGCCACGTGGGGTGGTATTATTTTGTGGTGCGTTCTTTACATATTCACAAGATCGAAGGGCACTCTTTTGGAAGATATTCCGTCTCTCATCCTATCGGGAGAAAGTATTTTGTGGAAGCTGACAAAAAGGAAGGACGATTAGGTTTTGCCTCTTCTTAGCTGCAACAGGGTTCAGGGGGTGCTGGAATCACCAGTTCCACAGATCGTGAGCGCTTTAGTTAAAATTCAAGGACGTAATTAACGCCCGCTTTTTATCACTTTCTTATCGTTCGAATGCATGCCCGTAAATAGTCTTTTAAGTTTTATATGATATGGCACATAATTGTAGTACTTGCGAGATAGACTTCGATGTTCACATTACACAGTGACATGCTTATGTCTAGTAATTCCTATGTGCTTCTTAAATTCACTAAAATTTCAAAAATGCTAAAAACAATAAAACGAACTGTCATCGAACAGACAAGCCACTGATCGTTCTTTTGCAAAAAGACTTCAAGTATTCCTTTCTAACTTGGTTATTACGCGTTTGTACTGTACAATGAAAGGTGCAAGATTCATTGTGCATTATTGCATAGAATGTGGAGACTACTACACCTGATACGATGTGACACCGCAATTAAGCATCAATGCTAGAACAAAAGGTAGAAAAAGAGGACTTTATCTCGACCATGTTGCCTGATTTTCTTTCTTTAAATTTTCAAATTAACTTTAAATGTGCGGCACCCTTTTTTCGAAGATAACGCTAACGCGGTTTTACTACAAATGGCCTCGCGCTAAATTCCATTCCGTCCTGACTTCAGCCCCAAAGCTTAGCCTCACCATAACTTTCCAAACCCTCACAACATCCCTCGTAATCCTAGATCTAGCCAGCCCTGGAATATAGCGCAAATTAGATCTTATTACGGGGCTTGTTCACGTGTCTTACTACAAAAAAATATCTAAATAATGGGAGTCGCCAGCGAACTGGGTCCCATGATAAAGGGACAATAGGCCTTCTAACTATAATCCAAGTTAAATCTGTAACAACCCTTTTACCCACTACATGCATGTATATGTTCTTTATCTGCGATAGTGGAAAATTCTGTCCATTTTATTTCGGAACCAGCAGATATTTATTTATCGACTGCGTCAACAGAAACTTTTGCTCTGCATCTTTTGAATCGGATTTGCTTGATTATATAACGACCACAAGTAGCCTAAAGATGACTGATGCATCATATATTATCTTAGGCAATCCCAGCCTTTACGCGAACCCCCCTGTTTCAAGGCATACCCCTGACAGTTTCTTTCGAACACGTCCTGCAATTTAAGACTTTGTTTGTCTAAAAAAACTTTGGCGAGGTTCGTTTTTGCAGTCCCACTTAATCAATACCATACAGATAACTTTCTTAAACAATTTTGTTTAACATAACAATCTTAACCACTCGCTGGATTAGGAAGTGGCAGAGAGAGAGAGAGCAAGCAGAGCTCAAAATAGACTCAGAGAAGCTCGTGTGAAGGTGTACCTGAAGTTGGCGTGTACACACTTCCCAAGACACAGCCACTCGCTGGATAAAGAAAGTGTGATCACAACAGGCGGGTCACAGAGGGAACCGCGTGCTAGTCCGCAGCACATGGCCACTATAGCGGAAGCGACGGAGTTCCAATCCGTCCGAACAGTGCCATCAACAAACCTACTTGTCCCCTCGCTGGACTGGTATAATAAAGTGGGCGCAAGTGGGGCTCGAAGCACGCGCAGGGAAGCGTGTGTGAACTGATAACTGATGTAACCCAGGTTGACATATGATCACTCCCGCCTCGGAGGCACAGACACTCGCCGAATGAAAATGGTAAGGAAAGTGCAAGCACGCGATTTATATAAAGTAACCACAATCGCACCTACTAAAATTGTTTTCGGAAGCTGCCACATGACATTACTCAAGTGGGGCTGCAGGATCAAACCTTGCCGAAACTTTTAGTGAATTGTAATCGGTGCTAACCAACGCAAATGTTACTTCTGCCAGTACTTACATCTCCAGAGCATTGTTTGTATATTGGTCTAGGAGGTGGAGTCAGCCAATTTTCTCAGTTTAGCGCCTTCCAATATTAGTTCCTTCCAGATGATTTTTTCCAAAACTGTGGATCTTCGTACCAGGCAAGCCATCTATAAAACGTGGGATAAACGATAAATGACTACAAAGTGTGGAAGTTCAACAGATAGGTCTTACCAAAACCGTTTGTCAAGAGAGGAATGCCGTTGTGATATTAGGATTATTAAGCTGAGGTGATGCCTTCGCTGATTTCTTGTCGATACCAGGAAAAACGAGACTGTTTGTATTTACAACATAAATGGATATTTTCATCGTCGTCATGTGTCGAATTACAATTCCGCTTTCCAGCGAAGTCAAGCCCATGCGTTTTTAGCTTTTCGGGACATCGATGCCCAGTCACAATTAACTAATCACACTTTTGATTATTAAAACACGTCGCTACCCCTTTTTAACTGATAGCTGTTCAACTAGCCGCATCATTGGAACTACTACTTGCAAGGATATCCGACCTATCTTTTAATAAATAACGGTCCTACAACCCCTGTTCTCATGTCTTAAAAGCAGACTTCCTTGCTCTATTTCTCTGTCAACATTCGGAAATGTTGTTACGCAACTGATGCCGGTTATGACCGGTAAACCACCATTCAGTGTTTAAAACAAAACGTGCCCACCTTTTTCAAACAACGATGGTTCAATCAGCCATATGATAAAAAACCCAAGTTACATTTAACTGTGTCTTGTGATAGCATTACAAAACTTTGCCACCCGACGACTGTTCCCGAATCATAAGCACTTAATAGTTGTTTAAAACGTGTACCCCAGAAGGAAAAATTTAGAGCGGAATATTTTCCTGTTTTCCAAAATCAACAATAAATGCTGACAGACACATTTGTGCATCCTGTTCTTCGATTGGGGCGGCAGAGATAAAGAGCAGAACTAGGTACTCCAAATCCATTCGCCGTTACGTCCTACAATATGTGATCGTCAACAGTGCTTGACGCTTGTAGGGACAACATGATAACAGTCCTGCTGTTAATCGTGCGGGAAAAAGAAAAGTCGAATTCTCAGCATAAGCCCTCGTGAGCACCAATGGAGCGGAATCATATTTCGTTAGAAGAACAACCTTGTTTTTTTGAAAAAAACATCCGACCTTTCGGAACACTATCACGTAACAGTTCATGTCAACCAAAAATGTTCAGATTAAGTGCTTTAATAAACGTCTGTTAGGAGTCAATGTAATCTTTCATTCACTTTCTCAATTAACAAACAATTAGACTATATATGCTCGGAGAATTCTCTCCAAATGATACGTGACCATGTTGCTTTAGAAGGCGTCCAGTTACAATTAAAAAGCCTATTATGTTAGAAGGGATAAGACTATTTTTAAGATTAAATTTTATTTTTCATCTCCCATAGGCCGTTTTTCTACTACTAGCTCTTTTGTGAATTTTCGCATTTACATCGATCTGAAAATTTGATGTGCAGAGAAGTAAACTTTATAAGTTCGGAAGGTTTTTTCCAAAGGATACTTCCCCAAGTTGCTGTAAAAGGTGTTGAATGACAGTGAAAAAAGCCTACTACGTTAGAAGAGATGGGATTTTTTGTAAATTAACTCTTATTTTTCCTGCCCTTTACGTCGGTTTTCTACTACTAACCCTCTGTGGATTTTTGCAATAGTATGGATTTGACATTAAAATATGCAGAGAAGTAAATCGCTTAGTATGAAAGTCTCTTCCGGAGGCGCACGTCTACGTGTATTTGCCCGTCTACACCCCACGCAGGCGCGAGTATGGCGGCCAGTAACTAGCAGTTGGTTAGCGCTATTGATAAGAACGGGGAAGCTGGATAATTGTGCCTATCTGCCGTCAATAATATCCTGATCTGATGCATCCGTACACCCAAACTAATACACCTGCAGTCCTAAAATAAAACGAAAATATTTACTTCTGTCCGGCATTCAAGATAAATGGGACACTTCTTCAACATCTACATTAGACCTATGACAGTGTTTTAGTTGTCGTTCATTAACTGGCTCGAATGGCCTAAAAGATGAAAAAATCTCGAAAGTACACTGAGAGCATTTTCATAAACAAGAAAAACGATGCTTTTAACAAATATCATTTCTGAGCGTCTTAGATTTTGCAGATAGAGCCCGGTGTTCTGTTAACTTCCAGTAAAGACACGTAAATCGAGATTGTAAATGCGAAGCTAACTATCGGACTCAAAGTAATGCCATCAACATTAACTGTTCCTTAACGACCTGAGTAAATTCTTCCTGTTTCATAGCGTAGTTACACTTTTCCCTTACAACTTGTCACTTGCCCTCTGCTGTTTGTAGTCCGCTTTATACTCTGAAAACGGCATCGCACAGCAGCGCCTTCCAAACACTGAATTGGCAACCCCTTGGGAAATTACTTTTAGAGAAAATATGCCGCTTTATGTTTCAGGTTTGTGCGCCATCCGTTTCCTAAATCCGCGTATTTTGTGTGGACATTTATAACGGCCTGCAAAAAAGTACCTCCCACACAGTTACTCGTGATTGATGGAGCCATTTTCTTTGGAGGTTTTGGTAGACAGTCGAAAATCCAGCGCCCGTAATTTTCCACGCATACTTAACATACGGTAGTCAGATTCTGTATGGCCGAACATATGCTGCTTGTAGGTCAAGAAGTGCAATACTACAGTGACGCAGTCTTTATGTGCGGTTGTAGAAGATAGAGGCTAGAGGATGAGAAATAAGTTCGTCCCCTACTGACACTTAATTCCAACCTTTTACCGCACAAATGGGGCGCCTTTCTTATGCTCGCGAAAGGCTAGTCGGATCTTCGCCAAACTAAACTTTTTTAAAGCTAACTTGACAATTGCGTTAATAAGGCGCAAAATAGTTGGGTGGTCTTAGTAAATCAAACGGTTTATACCCGAGACGGCCACTGTTACGACTCTAACGACTTTTCAAGTGTGTATTCACTCGCCATGGATGCCTGCACTTAGGGACATGTGACTTTACCGCAGATTCCTTGCGTTGAACACCTTGAAAACTCCGTGGCACATTTTGGCTTTTTACAGAAATCCAAAATCTAGACGGAGATACCCTAATAATGACGCATTTAGGGTACACAGCCCGATTCCTATCCATAGGCGCAGCGAAAGAAAAAAATACCTTGCAGTTAAAATGAACAATTTTTATTACGAGTTCGCTTTTTTGGAGGTGTTTACTGGACTCACAAATGTGAAATTTTGGAGCGCAAGTGACCCTACCCCACGAAATACTTTGGTTTCCTACATGATTCGTCTGCGACGAAAACTACTACTTCTAGACCGTCGAGAAAGGCTCCCAAACTTCTGCCTACAATATCCAATATTTCATCTGCGATGTTGGCGACCGTTTGGTCTGGTTTCTAACTCAGGCTATGGAACAAACCCGTAGCATATAGAAGGCTATAAAAATGTTTAAGTCGTCGTGTTACCTGATTGGGTGAGTAAGTAATTACGTACTGACGCCTCGCCAAATGATGACTGAATGGATAGTTTATCTGTTTGCATCGGGGCTATCAAGGGCCCTGCAGCTCTTACGTACTCTGGAGAAAATGAATTGGTGCAGTCAATTGTAAGACTGTCGAAACTCATTAGCAGCACAAGTGATCATAAGGGAACAACAAAAAAGTGTAGCAACCTCTTCAGGATTTTCGAAATTTTCAGAAGTGCCTGTTTATAGGCTGACGCAGCAGATTGTTACAAACGAGGCTACCACGGCTCGACCATCAGCTATCAGTGGTCAAACACATGCGTCATACATCCGGTCTATGTGGTGACGAGGGATGAGTCCTGTGACTTTAAAACTAGTAATCGTTTACTAAAGTTTTTTCTCAGACTCCTTGAGATGCATACTTTTTACCCCCCCCCCCCTGCATGTTCCGCAAAGTCTTCGTGAGGAAAAAATATTGAAGCAAAAAATTGTCTCAAAATACAGCGCGATGTACAATCGCGTGGGTATACCTTCTTGTCGCCTTAAACAATGCCAACCTAAACATGTCATGAATCCCTGCCTGCTGCCCATTCGTAGAATCGGCGAGCAGGAGATCTGCGCCGAATCCATGGCACGCCTTGACCTACAAGGGCAACGGCTCAGTGGCAGTAGGTTGAGTTTTGCCTGACCTGAATGTTCCATCACCCATCGACCCCACGCCACAGTTTGTCGCCGAGTAATTAGGCCAAACGATCAGTCGGACCGACCCGAAAGTTCGGCCATACACTAGCTCATCCAGTAGGGCGACTGGACTGCGAACTATGATGGTCGTAAATGCCAAACAAGTGGCCACACACATGTATGGAGGCTCAAAAGGAAGTTTGGGGAGCAAACGTCTGCTTTTGAAAAATTCTTGTCAGGCCTGTACATTTAGTTGGCTATTGAAATATAGAAATATATAGGGGAGATACTCTGATCGATTCAGAAAAAAGGGTCTTTTTCCACGAAAGGCGCTAATCCTAATTTAAAAGCTTTTCTACGCAAACTATTAACAAGGACTCTGTGGCGTTTCACTTGAGATACGAATCCTACTATTCAAATTATGAATCAATCAATCACCGAGTCGAATCATTAACCAACACACTAACGCTACCCAATAACTGCAGAGGACACGGGTTCGGGGGGCGGGGGTTAATGAGTCGGTTAAGAGCCTTCATAGATGCATTTATGGATAATTTCAGCTTCTAGTAGTGAAGTAGAGCAAGCGTTTCAACTGTCAGGCAAATACGTCTACTTGGTCGGAGGTCGGACATGCCGCTGTCGTCTTCCGTTCTTCTCCAGAGACAGTCTCCACCCCCTCCCACCATCTCAAAACATGCATGCTCGCCGTACTCTTCTCACCCTACCCTCCAAGCCGATGCTCGATTAAGAATGGGAGATGGCTTACTTTTTGCCTGCTGTTTCACCATTTCCTCTTCCATTAAGCTCGCGAGGTTTCTCCTGCTCCAGGGCCAGGTCACAACCCATCCCCCCTCCGCAGCGCAGAGATTTGCATATTTAAAAAGTGTGCGCGCTAGCGTATGACCACGCACCTGCGTGGTGGATGCAGGGACAAATGTGTGGCCTGAGGACAGGTTGACTTTCGGTCATGGCCCACAGTGCTTTCAGCTCCTCCTCCCCCCCCGGTTCCCGTCTCCACCTGCCTTGACGACAGGACATTTCGGCCTTAATTAGCCTGGCCTCATCTCACACCCCGCCTCACCCCGTACTCTTAGTTTGACTTTCACGCTGGTTGGGTTCTGAGGGGGGGGGAGAGCGGAGCGGGTGTAATTAGTGTAAACAAGGTGTAAGCTGGTGACATGGCATAGAGCTCTGCAGTAGGAAGTTAGGACGGCCTCTGAAACTCCCCCTAGTTACGGTGGCCTTAATTACTGACAATTTGTATTGCTGCTGTGGTGACAGGTTTAATGAAACGCACCTCCGCAAGTGTTTGGCAAAGGGGACAGGACAGTCACAGTGGAGAGAAATCTGTTTTTTTTCGTGGAAAGTCTCCTGCAACATCCATAATAAGTTTTCAATTGACTAAATACAGTTTGCTTAGTATACCCTCCCCCAGTGTGAAGGTCTGTAGGCAGATAGGTGACCTGGTAATTTTAAAAAATGCAGTCAAGAGAATTAAGTGATTGCAGGTATCCCTGAACACAATGGGCTTAAGAGTCGTAGTCAAACAGCCGTGGCTAATCATGTGATAAAAAGTATTAGTACGTTCAACGATCGAGTTACGGGAACTGCTCGTCGCACTGTGCGTTAAGATCCATCCCAGAGTCCTCGCAGACACTCGCATAGCAGCGATAACGAGGTTCCCGCTCTCCATCTCCAGCCATCCGCAGATTTGCAGAATTTGAGACTCGAATCTGCGTTCTGTGGTCTTCGAGCGACGGCAGGTCGACCATCGCAAACAACGACGGTTTTACAGCAAGGTGAGCTTAGGAACAAAGAATTGGACGTGAGTTAGTGAACTTGCTCACCACCTTCTATGCCTACTCCTCCCTCATCAACCCCAGCTCAGTGTCAAGGTAGTGTCAAGAAGGTTGGAGGCGGGATCTGGCGCAGGTAGGCTACCCATCTACACGTGCCACACACGTCCGATCCGTGCACATTGCGCCTGCTTTTCGCAGAACCAAGGGGCCGGTCGAATCCAAACTGAATGGAAATGGGACGAGTTCGCTGGCTGTTACCAGCCGGCGACGACTAGTACGCCAGGAATGGCCATTTTATTTGAGTTTGGTTTTGTCGGTGCCCTCTCTAGTATCCGTATAGTTTCGAGGTCACTCCTTGAAGAAGGTCGTGATAGTCATATTCATTGCTGGAGGGCTAATGCGAGTGAGGTGTTGCAGGCATGTGACGCAAGTGTGCATTATGGATGCATAAATTGCCGGCCTAGTCGGAAGAGTGCAAACGACAGAACTGCTTGTAAATTTACCGGCAAAATTACGTTGCGGTCGCATTCTTGTTTTTATAGACAGAGACTTCATTTATAAGACATGCCAGATATTTAAATTTTATTTCGCACCGTAAACGGGATAACCAGGACAAATACTTACCTGGTCACCAAGTTCATGAAGCAGCTATCAAACGAATCCATTTCACAGAGGTCGTGGCAGATTTAGAGTAATTCACTTTGACCCAGCTGTGAAAAACTTGGTGCCTCGGTGGGATCCGAACCCAGGACAGCAAGGGAAGGCTTTAGTACAGCCAACCCTTTAAGCATCTGAGCTACGAGCTCCCATGGACGACGCCAGTTTAATTGCATTTGGGTCAAGTTCACTACAGTCAAGTTTTTCATAGTTGGGTCAAAGTAAGTTATTTGAAATCTGTCATAACGCCTATGGATTGCGTGAGCCTGGTAGGCATCTGGTGGATTCTAGGTGCATTACTTAGGAAATCCTGCTTGGGCAGTCAGCTAGCTGTATCATATTTTGTGGTACCAGACGTTACATTAAGTTGGACGGGTAAACATGACCCAAATGTGATTAAACACGCGTCGTCCAGTGGGGCCTCGAGGCTCAGATGGCTAGAACGTTGGCTGTACTAAGGCCTCCCCTTGCTTTCGCCGTTTCGGATCCCACCGACGCACCGAGCTTCCCACAGTTGGGTTAAAGTGAATCCATTTCAAAACAATTCTAGTCATAAAGAATAAGACAAGTATAATCATGCTGAATGTAATTTACAAAACGCTCTATTGTTACAGACGTAATCTGACAATCGCCTTAGCTTATTCGGACTAACACATTTTTGAAAATAATCGCTAATGTCCTAATTTTGTCTACTTGGATAAATGTTTCAGGCTTGCAAAAGTTATTTGCATGCTAATGGTAATTGGAAGTGAGATGTTACATTCACATAACTTACTAACACCGACAAAATGGGAGTCACTTCAAAAACAATTACGGTTTCTGATGTATGTGATTTTAGACACATTATGTTCTGCAGTTTTTATCTCTTTTCTTCCGGTAATTACAGTAGATGACTAGTCCAATGAAGCAAAAGACAACAAACTAGACGGTCTGTCTGGATAAGCTAGGATTTTGTTTGTAGTCACTAGCTTAGCACATTGCAAAAAGCTCTTCACATCGAGCAATTTATGTTTAGAATTATTAAAATAACGAAGGACACTGCAACCTTAAGGCGTATTCAACATTATTTTTTGTTTGGATACTTACTTATGCAAATAATATGAGTCAGATCTGCGTATTTACGTACGTTTCTCCAGCAGGATGCAACGAGATAGATAAGGGAAATTTACGAAATCAGCATTCGCCAACTTGAATTTTGATTTCTACACCGCAATTCGGGTAAGATAACTGTGAGTAGGCATTTTGTTTCAAAAACAGAAGTTTGTACTAATAAGTATCAAATAAGTCCATTTTGTAAATTCGTGAAGCTTCGAGCCCTGAAAGCAGTACTGAGCCCACTGACATTCGTCCGTTTGAGCGCGCCCGTATTTTTCGGGCATATGTAGATATTTCGCAAGAAATCCACAAAAGGCATTATATCAAAGTTTTTATGCGGCGAGATTTCAATTAGTGTGTAAGGGAGAAATGGCATATGCACCGTATTGCTTACAAACGACATCTCATATGCATATTGTTTCCTTAAAACGCATTTATGTCCATGTAACTGCGACCTTCAATAAAAACGATGATATCAACGGTACTAAGTGGAGAGGAAGTGTAGATTTTTCTGCTTGCAGCCAAAAATTAGTACCAACCAAAAAAGTGAATCAGCAAACAAATCTTTTGATTTTTTGCGCAGAATTTAATTTAAGAGAAGATTTTGGATGTCGGTATTCACCTGTAAAATACCCAAAAGGCATTTATAAGTAAATGACGGGCGATAGAAGATTGTTCAATTAAAATAAAACATATATAACTGACCTTCGTGGTGAAAACCAGTATTCCTAAATTATTAGACTTAGTATTTAGATAGACCTTCAGCTAAGACCTAATCTGCCATCTGCGAAAATGAGAGCGTTAATAAACTCACTAAATACACAACAGTTCCAAAAATGTGCCTTGTTCTGATAGGGTTTATTAACAGCAAACTTTAAAGGCCACGCTTTTGTGTAAGTGAATGAAAACTGCAAAACCTTCGGTAAGGTCTGAATGCTGCCGGCGAAATCAGTAGGCAGCACCATTACTAAAAGTAAAACAGTTATTTTGCGGTGACGATGGCCTCTTAATATGCAGAAAATTGACTCTGCTGCTGTTTTTTACCCTTTGTCAACGACTGGGCTCCTCATTTGTGACTGAATTAGGGCGTGAAATCTGTCGGCGTTTTTACCTAAAAATCGGTTTGGGTTCAGTCAAACGCTTTTCGGTCAGTGCAAAAATTCAAATTGCATAAGGTTCCTCGTAGTTTCAATTTGAAAATACTTAGTTATGTCTTACATAGCCGACCGGCTGACATGACGAGGACTACCCAAAACAGCCTTTAGAACGCGATTATTCTGCTTGCATCCCTCGGACATTTATGATGTACTTATGGAACCTACGTTTATCCACTTAGCATGGCTATTGAAGTCCTGGGCATTTTTGCTTTTCTTGAAAATTGCTATTTTATTCCGTATCACAGATTGTTTGACATAAATTCACAGGTAACCTTAACTTAGGGTTATTCACATTTATTTATTCGTACTGGTTGGTGCATTCTGGGCCAGTGCCTGGACCATGTCTACTGGCTCAAGAGTTAACGCAAGAGTTGTACCATCCACGCTTAATCTATCACATATGTATCTTGTTCTAATAGCAGAGATATTAGAGATTCACATGAATATATAGAATGCGCCTACAAGGTAGTTCTCAGTGTTTTGAAATAATAATAACCTTTTTTTCGGGAAAATACAACCCACCTACAATCCCAAAAATGTGTTTAAAACCGGGATTCAGAGTCGATGTGTGACAGTTCATTTTACTTCCAAATAAGACCACATTTTATTTCAATGTTTAATTGGCCAATTCATCCAGAATCTTCCTGAGCACGTTTATAACTTAGGTGACTGTTATATCTGTTTAATCTAGGTTTGAGCGCATGGAGTAAGTAGGCAAGTTTCGTCTCCCTGATAAATTGACAGTTGTGTCACATACAAACCTTCACAGTGTGGTTATCCTTATCAGCTCAAATCTGTAGCCCAGTCAGCATTTATGACCCGCAAAAGTTACCGTCTTTGCTCTCACCCTACAATGACGCACATGACAGACATCGTCGGCAGCGACTGTTGAACTACAGTGAGTGACCAATCTCATGAAATGTTGGCTGAAATTCCGAAATGCGTTTTCGATTAGAAAAGATTACTTAGGCGCGGTTGTAATACCGATTATCTTGCGGCATAATCCTATGATATTGGGACTCAGAAGTATCTCAGCCTTTGAATGCATGGCTTTTCAGCCCCCTGTAGAGACCGTACCTGATAAAAGATGACTACTTAAACGGCATGCATTTTCCCATAGATTTTCGATGGTCTTGCAAATTGAAATATATCTCATAAAAACCATAAACGAACATATATTTCCGTTGGGTCGTCTGGCATAGAATTGCGTCTTCGTTATATTTTATATTCATGGAAGGAGTATAATTAGGTACTAAAAAGTTTTTTTAGTGTGACATTTCTTAAGACCGCGCAATGTCCGTTCATATAACATTTAAACTGACCGTTTACCACGGCTCCTCATTAAAAGCACGACCTAGTCTGCATTCATTGCAAAATTTTATGGACTTTGTATAATATCATTCTAACGACATAGAAGAATATGTGATTTTCTTTACGCGGAACGCATGCACCCTGTAGACTGAGATCATTAAGCTTCAAAGCAGCGAATAATCAAGCTCCAAATAATTCGGCAACAAGAAAACTGTCTAAAACCTAATTATACTCCTTCCTTGAATATAAAGAGGACGTAATTCTTTACCAAACGACAGAACGGAAACATATTTTCGTTTATGGTTTTTATAAGATATGTTTCAGTTTGCAAGACCATTAAAAATCTATGGAAAAAATGCATGCTACTTATGTAGTCATCTTTTACCAAGTACGGTTTCTGCAAGAGGCTGAAAAGCCATGCAGTCAAAGGCTGACATACTTCTGGGTACGAAATATTAAAGGATAATGCCGAAGGATACTCAGTATTACAACCATGTCTAAGTAATCTTTCCTAATCGAAAACGCATTTCGGAATTTCAGCCAACATTTCATGAGATCGGTTACTCACTGTACCATGTAGCCTGTAAGCTGCGCTGTGTATGAGGACCACTTGTCAGAGAGTCGAACAATGTACGCTTGTCCAAAGACAGTGAAAATTGGTTAGGCTATGCATTCCTGCTGCATGTCGGTCACAGTATTCCGACATGGTCCTCTGAGTTGATAATAAAGAAATTTGTCAAAATTACCAGTGTTCTCTTCGAGACAGTGCTTGATTTTGTCGTGTTTAATTGACTAACTGCAATCGTAGGTACTACTGGTCCTCTAAAAATAAATATCACTGGGGTTTCTCATTAATAGAGAACAAATTTTGACAGACGGCGGGGGTTGTTCGTACGACTGTCAGTTCTATTCTGTAGTAACTAGTGGCTAACATAGTGGTATACGAGACATATGTCTATTTTGTCACCGTGTTCAATCAGATAAGATATTCTGCGAATTGCTTTTGTCACAGAGGGTTACGCCTGCGCACTTAAACTATCTCGTCATATCAGATTTCGCAGAGTGGGAGTTTGTCAAGTGGCCAAATGCTGCGGTCATTGGAGATGAGAGGCAGGTATGAAGAGCGTCATTTGAGGCAGCAACTGTTTTAGATTTGACAAGTCGCGCGCGTGAAGTCGGTTCGGCTGGAAAGTGTGTTTTAGCACACCCTAACGTTGGTGATTTCCTACTCTGCTACTGCACCAAGTGACGTCTGCAGCCCGACTTTTTTTCAAAAAGAAAACACTGCTGATTCCGGGGACGTATTCCTTTCTTTAGTTACATGCAGGCCAAACTCACCTTCTCTATCCTAGGTGGTCTTGTTCAGCACGACGGAAAAGTATCGATCTTCACTTTTATGTCCAGCGATACAGTGGCATCGTAATGAGCTTGAACTTGGATCCTTTCGTCATACATATAGGATACCTGATTGTTTTCTGACAAATGGAATTCAGTTTTGGAGAGTATACTACTTTTACTTATTTTCCTCCCAATGATGGCTTCTGTGTGACGCACCCAGGTTGTACACCCTAAGCATAGGGTTGGCTATCTCAATAAAAAAAGAAGTCGTCTATAAGATCCCATGCGAAGCATGTGATGCCGTATATTGTGGCCAAACGGAAAATGTGCCTCTAAACGCATCCACGAACATCAACTTGCAGTTAAGAGGCGAGACCACTTGTCTCAAATGGCCATGCACACTCTTGATACTGGGCACAATTTCGCATGGGACAAAACTCGCATCGTCGGAGTTTGCCCATCTAAAAAAGGCCGAGAGTTTCTTGAAGCCATGCACTCCGATGAGTCATGCATCAACAGGCATATCGAGTTAGATGCCACGTACAAGAATCTCAGAGAAAAGTGGAAGAGACGAAAGCCGATCAATACGGACTGACACGACGACAGCTTACTAGCTGAGGCACCAAACGAGTATTGATTTTGTAGCACGTTTGTAATTTTAATTGTTTTCAGCACATTTACTCTAGTTTGACGACGACACGGGGAACTGACGTGGAAAATTTACTCAATAAAGTTTTCTCCCTTTCCCAAAGAACGTTTTTTGATTTTTATATTTATTTTTTTAAGGACAAGAAACACCAGTGACGATACGTCTCCCCATACAGATCGGGGGAAGTTTACGGAACCGCACTTTTCAATAGAGGGGATGAAAGCAATTAAGAACTTGGTTTGTAGCGATGACCAGCATTCCGCATGCGGAATCAAATCAATATTTTTGAGCTTGGCGGCACTCGAATAAGTACTAGACGTAAACAACTAGGGTTCTGAAAACCGGTAATGTTGCATAGGCCTTTCACGACACTGAGAACTAAACATGGAACTGAACAATCGAAATTAGGAGTTAATGCACTTCTAATGCTGTTTTGCATCAAGAATAAAGGTCGTATTATTTTTATCTGTTGTCGGTTGGTCCAGAATTTTAGAAAATACAAAATATAAGTCCCAAGGTTTGTTCAGAAAATAAAGTGAAATTGCAGATAAGGAGGAAAAAACACCTTTCCAATTTAGAACGACCGACTTTTGATAACCACATGGATTTATTTTTTCTGCATCTAACTGCTACTCTTTTGTAGGCAAGCAACGATGCTAAGCGTTTCGTCTTTTTGCAAAAATTAACGTAAAAAACATTTAGACCTGCCAGGAAATTTGAATGTGCCTCCTTACGGCCTTTTAATACCTTCCATAGACAAAGTTTGGCTATTTGACTTGTTATTAATTTCAGGTCCTTTCTGTATCTTCAACTAATGTTTGAATATTTTGTCACAGGAATGACTGCAAATGTTTATTACTGATAACTTTCCTCACTAATCGAACAGTCTCTATTCTCCAAAGATCCACATAAAATCCCGCTCACTTGTTGTTTTCGGAGAATAATTGTGCAGCGTGAACGTCCGTGGGAAATGTTTTGAGCTCATTTGGCAATGGGGAATGTAATTAAGTATAAAACTGACTTCACAAAAATAATAGGCCAATATAATTCAGCTGAGGTCTTGACATGTAAATCCTTGTTCGCTGGGTATGGAAAAACAAGCAAATTTCATTTCATTAACAGCAGTACTTTAGTCGGTAGGCCTTACCTTGTTAGCCTTGCCGAGAAGAAGATAACTGTATTAACAGCAACAGAGAGGCTACCGATGCATTACGGTTTGGTACGATAAAGCGCATTTCTAGCATAACGGACTGAATATTCATCCGTGTTCTTTTTTATAACGGAACGATACATCATATGAGAGAAAAAGTAAATCATGGTAATATGAATCGTATAAATCCCAAGGGAGTAAGTTAGCAAAACATTGCATGTCACATGAGCTCCTCTAGTCCGACGAATGACCTCAAATTGCTAATCACGTATATTTGGGTGATGCTCTCCCTATACAAACACATCCCAAGCTTGCTCGACAGTCCGGAGCGCAGGTGGACAGACTTTGCTTGTTAAAACATCCAATGCAGAGCTGTTAAATGCATGAGCACGATGATGTGAAGTTTAATGTCCGCGACTTTCCATCCATCACCATTGGTAAATGATGGAATTTTGGGAACTGCGTTCTGAGCTGAAAGTATTTAGCTCGGCTTGTCTCAAGTAAGTCGCGTCCTGCCGTGGTTTGAAAAAAATCCACGACTTTTGAAATTAAGAGACGACTCCTCGGATAAAAATCTATGGTACACAGCCTACAGTAGATGTGATTTTCAGTAGCGCTGCTGACTTTTGCCAATGGTTTAAACATAATCGTTTTCAGTATTTACGTTCAGTATTTACGACGCAAATACTGAACTTCAATAGCAGCTACCCGATCAGTCACAAACGCAGTTGCGTAAGGGCGCTATACCGGCGCGTTGAGACGCACTGCAGTGAAATGGAAGACAAGGTTGCTGGATTACAATATCTTCGACGGATAATGAGAGCCAATGGTTACCCGTGCAACTTTGTCAACCAGTGCATACGAAAAGGACACCAGAGACCAAATCCAACCGGACCCAAATTTTGGCGGGCCCTTCCGTACGTGAAGAACGTCTCGGAAGTCGTCAGTCGTCTTCTCACTCCACTTGCAGTTGGGGTTGCACACAGGCCGGAAGCAACCATAAGGCGTCAAGTCATGAGGCCAAAAGACCCGCTGCCACGGCAGGACACGTCTGGAGTTATTTACCGGATCTGGTGTAGTTGCGGACAAAGCAATTATGTCGGAGAAACTGGGAGATTACTCCGTACGCGAATTGCCGAGCACGCAGCAGCAGTGAGGCGGGGAGACGCTAACTCTCAAGTGGCGGCACACTCGACGGGACCCGGCCATATTTTCAAATTTCAAGAGGCCGAAATCCTCGCAAGGGGTGACAACCGCGTGAGCCGCGAGCTGCTTGAGTCGTGGTTCTTAGGCCCGCAATCCATCAACAAACACAATGACCTCCCGGTACCCTATAGCGTACTGCGATTTTCCCTAGGCAGCAGAATCAGTCACGTGGGGAGGGTGCGGGCGAGCAATCATCATGGTGACAGTGAGCCAGTTTGCCGAGCAATCGTCACACCAGCATCCAGCACGGATGACGAAATCGCGGCAATCAACGACTCGGACTCGGACCGACAAGCCACCACCGCATCAATTACGGCCCCAGCGGTGATTACGAGAACTGTTAATTGCAGTGCGCATGCGGTCCCACGGCAGCCACGTGCTATAAATACTGCACTCCTGGTGCCAAAATCACCTTTATCTGCTAATGTCTCTGATGATCGATTCGAGTAAGGATCCGAAACGTCAGGCAAATAAATTTCTTGTTCCGGTGATCGCATCTTCATCTTCTGAACTGCTACCTGGAACTCGTCTGTTCGCTTCTATCAAGAATCGTTTTCGTTGTCATGCATAGACATATTTAGACGATGGCAATTTGTTTTAGGAAGTTGGCAAGAGTTTTAGTTTGTCTAGTGCTTAAATGTAACTAAACGCAAAATGATCTGCTCAATAAGACCAAACGTACAGATCTCAAATACAGTATCATTCCTCTGAAGCGGTAATCACTGACGCCTTGTTCTAGAACGTTTTCTAAAAATTCTAGTCTCATTTACGTTTGTAATTTAAGTTTGTTACTTTTACAGCCATTAAGGTCGGTGTTTAGGCAAAAAATATTGCAATCTAATGCAACTATAGCAACGACTACCGGGCAGAATTCCCCAAAACAAGGCTACTTCCAATAGTTAGCATCTAGCTATGTCCTACTTCCTTAATGAAAAGCTTTGCCAAAAATTGCACAAGCTAGTGACTTCAAAGTACACTGAAATCTCTGGTTTTAACTACGCCGTGTAAACCAGCCGACGTGTTTCTATGGACACATGAAGCAATAAAGAAAGGAGTCAATAAATCACAGTTTCGGGTCGCCTGTAAGGACAAATCATACAGTTTTCGAAACAGACGTTGAAGGTCAACAGAGTGACTAATCTGCCCAGGTCATAAAAAGAAAGATTTTGGAGTCGATCGCTTGGATAAAAAAGTCACAGTACAATTCAATAGTATTTCTACTTCCAACAAAACGGCAGGTTGACGTAAGGCTATGGTTTTTGCCCAGAACCAATATGCATTACTTGAATTCTACATTCTTGGAATTTTTTCTCGCATTGGGGCATAGCGGTAGGTCATGTTCTATGTACTAACTGGTGTTCCCGAGGCTCGAACTCGGCTTTTTAGTTATCAAACATTAATGAATCCAACGTTCAATAACCAGAAAATCATGAATGAATCTTCAGATACTCACAAACCTGGCGTTTAGTGGGGCTGAGTAAAACGGCCAATAAGCCAAAACTGACGATAGCCGTATCAGTCAGTCGCTATTCAGCTGCCCGCTAAAGCTCTAGATTGAGCTCCAAGGCACAGTCGGAGGAGCACATCCAGCAAGCTTTTCGGAGAGCATCCCATTGCTACAGGCATGTGATCTTAAGTGACGGGCGATCAATAGAACACGTGGAAATTACACATTTTACAACTATACAGTTCGGTTCACGTATTTTTCTCACTTAAGCTTACAGTCAAAGCCTTCGGTCGGTTTTGTAAAAGTCAACTTATCTGCAACAGTTTACCTATGTAGTGTCTGCTATCTGCCTGTCTCACTTTTCAGGGACCAGGTTTGTTGTTTAATCTGGTTTGATGAACAAAAAAGAATTTGAAACTTTAGCAGTAGATACTGCCTAAAGCAAAAAAATAACATTAAAGTCTACGGCAGGGACTGGATATCATGTATGAAGTTTTCCACGACACCCACTGAGCGTAATATATTCTGTGTGCTTTCACAGTCCACTTTAACCCTTTTAGACACTGTTGGTAGTCCTCTCGAAACTTTCCTCTGTTTGTTCTAGATGCAACGATGCGCGTAGATCTCGGTCTTTTAGACTATTCAGTCGCAAATTGTATACAATCTTTCCAATTCAAGAAAACACGTTCGAAATACTGTGAAAGCCTTTCTAGTCAATGCAGCGGTTTAATTTTTATCCTTTCACATTACCATCTAAGTGATGTAAAGTGGTTTTAGAAAAATGTAATCATGAGATTTTTTAAGGCCGTGAAATACCCGTTCATTGAACATCGTGGTTCTACACTTGCCTACGTTGCTTGTAAAGTTCGCAACATGGCTCAATCCAACAGCTACATTTTATGACCCCATACGATTCCTTTTCAAAGCGTATAAAAGTGTAGAATTTTTTGTAAAACGGCAAATATACAGCTTGTACTTTGGAAATTCTGGATGCAAGTCTATGGGTTGGTCGGGTTCAAAATTATTCTGGGGTTCGAATTTTTTTAACGCCGAATTGTACCGTTCGTCCAAGCATAAAATTTGAAAAATGATGTAATTTTCTTCCAAATGAGTAGAAGAATGCATAGTTTTTACAAGTTTTCAGTGAAATACATATAAATCAATAAGGATATCGAAAATTAATAAGAAACATTTATACCACTTATGGAGTTATTTTTGCACAAATGGTTTTTGTGGACGGCCGGAAAGAAGTTGTTCAAAAGCCCGCGTCCTGAAGTAATTGAGTTATTTTTGGATTATGCTGTTACGTAATTAATACAACAAACTTGCTTAAGTGAACTTTTCGAGTGGAAGACACATTTCGACATTTCGGTCAACATTTCATGAGTTAGGACACCTATTGTGCCGTGAAACGTTTTCTAGCCATCATAGCAGTTATAGTTACCCTTTAAGAGTACCATCTAAGTGCTGTATGGCGATATTATTGCTGATGTGTGCCCCCTGAGGCTCTCAAAGTGGGCCAAAAAGGCTATGGGCCTTTCGACAACCGGGCCAGTTTAAGTTAGTTTGGATGTCGGCTGCCGTTCTTTGTTCTTTGATGACAGAGAGCGGCTGGGTAATTTTAGGGTAAAAAGCTGCACGCAACACCTATTACGGCCAAATTGAATTCACACCGAATCTTCGGATGCTTGTGCAATTTCAAAAGCACTTCAGTCTAATTGAAAAAATGCTGACAGTGGACCAAAAATAAACCAGAAATGGACTTCCTAACTATGCCATATGAGCAGTTTTGTTAACTTAAAATATAGAAAGTATCGATGTTTCAAATGATTGCGGTTTAATATGGTATTTGAAAAGAACATTCAGAATCCCAAGAATGAAGTTTGGAAACTAGTAGGTCTTACTTTGTTACAAACAATGTTGAGTAGTAATTTGGCGTTGTGTGGACTGTTTTCGAGATGGCCTAATAATTTAACCTGACGTCATGGGCGCCGTTGCCTGCAAAAATACACAATTGAAATAGCCAAAATGCCCATTTATTGAACTTTAAAGAATGTTTACTGCAAACGTACAAGGGAGTTTTCTGTTAGCCTCTGCAATTCGAAGAAGCGTAATCGACGTGATCAATTGTTAACGATGGTTGTCGTCTAGAAGCATGAAATGGGTGTGCTTCGGCGCAGTGTCGCTAAACGTTCTAATGACTGGTGCGTTTAAAGATTTTATCCATAGAGCGATTGTGCATCTGTTTGAATAAAAGTGATTTTGCAAATGGGTATGCAAACATTGCAAAATTGCAATTGCTTTTATTGCAGTTAATCGCATGTCCCTGCTTGCACATTTTACTCTCGGATTCAGTAGAGATAAAATTCTAAATAGTGTATTTTGGTTCAAATACACTGTCACAAGCCACCTCATATGAGCTGCTTGTCGTTTGTTTTAAAAGACAATGTAATATTATTCAGTCAGTAAATAACATCGAAAAATGATGATTTTAGTTGGGGAAATGGGTGAATAGATGGAATGGTCTCTATATTAAAGACAGTTTTTATATGAAAGGCGATGATAGTAAAACATCCGCACAACCAGAACACTCGGAACTTCGGAAAGGAGTAGTCGAACCGCTATTTTCCCCGGTTTCTCGTTAGATACTCTAACCTCGAGCAGCCAGAGGCTCGAATCTGTTCCGAAACACCTGTTTTATCGTAACACGATTCTCATATTCTGCCTGTTATTCGCAAACACTTCGCCTCAAATACACCAAAAAGCACACCTTCAGTAATGGGCTAAATCATGAAATGTCAATAACAATTTCGAAATGCGTTTTCGTTTTGAAAAGATTAATTAAGTAGGGTAGTAAAACAGATCATCGTGCAGCGTCATTCTATAAGAATTCGGTCACATCAGGATGTCGGTTATCGAACTAACTTCCTTTTGGCTGCATGCAAAAACTTTACTTTGCAAAAAATGGCTACTTATTTAGCATGCCTTTTTTCACTGACTTTTGGTGCCTCTAGAAATTCAATTATATTTCATAGACAACATGAATAAAATATTCATTCTTCCGCTTACTCGGTGGGAAATTATGCCCTCTTTAAACTTTATACTCGAGCAAAGGGTATAACTCGGTTTTCGAATATTTTTCCACTTCCATATTCATTTGGAACCCGACGTGTCGTTACGCTTGCATTCAGGGTTAGCAAACTACAGGCCGTGTCATTTCCGCGTACGAAAAACCATACATTTCTCAACGGTATTAATGAGTGACCATATTGGGTTCATAAAATGTAGCAGCGGATTTGGGTCATATTGCTTACTTTACAGGCCACATTCGCAAGTGCAAAAACATGACGGTTTGTGAACGGCCATTTCACGGTATAGAAAAGTTTCACAATTAGAAACATTTTTAAAACTGAATTATACTCTGCCTCCAATTAAAAATTGAAAGAATAAGTAGATTTTTACCGAATGAGCAGGATAATGAAAATTTTTATGTTTTCTATGAAACTTAATTGAATTTTTAGGGGCATTAAAATAATTGAGAAAAATGCATACTAATTAAGTAGCCAGATTTTGCAAATTGTAGTTTTTTTATGCAGCCGAAAAGAAATTATTTCGATAGCCGGCATCCTGTGGTGACCAAATTCTTATAGAATTACGCTGCATGATGATCTGTTTTACAACCCTTCTTAATTAGTCTTTTCAGAACGAAAACGCATTTCGAAATTTCTGTTGACATTTTATCAGTTAGCCCACCTACTGTAGATAACCGCCAAAGTCTTATTTGCTAAATGAAGTGCCTGAGTTTCCGCAGATTAACAAAATCGGGATAATCGAATACTTGTCACTAGTGTCGTGCACTTTATCTTTCATCTCAGTTGCGTCGTGTGGATGATTACATTCTATTTATCTACTATACCGATGGCAAGTAATCACAACTAGAAAGAACAATAAATTAAAGTTGCACTTAACATCCTTTCTCTGTTCCTAAATTGAGCTTAGGCAACACTTGTGTCAAGTCCTCAGCAAAGTCAAGTATCATACGAAAACAGTAAGTCAGAAGAACGCGCAATCACTAAACAGCAGTTGTATTAGTCTGAGTTTTCGGACTCTCAGAAGAGACAACCATCGAAGACTTTAAGATGACAATAACCGATGGACTGCGTTAGTAATTAAACAATGAAATAATGAAACCGAACGACCCACTGCCACGGCTAGAAACGTCTGGGGTCGTTTATCAGATCTGGTGCAGTTGCGGACAAAGCGGCTACGTCGGAGAAACCGGAAGACAGCTCCGAACGCGAATAGCAGAACACGCTGCAGCAATGTGGAGAAATGACGTCAACTCTCAAGCTGCAGCCCATTCGATGAGATTCGGTAACACATTCAAATTCGACGAGGCCGAAATTCTCGCCATAGATGACAACAGCGTGAGCCGGGAGCTGCTTTAGTCATTGTTTACTGCCCCCCAGCCCATTAATAAGTGCTATGAACTTCCCCTTCCATACTCGGTGCTGAGACTTCGCCTAGGTCGAGTAATTAGCCACGCGGGGAGCGCACAAGTGAACACTTTTCCCAACTCCAGGGTCGGCGCCTCAGATTGTCGAGCCATCATCACGCCGACAGCCAACGTGCGTGATGAAATTGCAGCAATTAACGACGCGAATGCCGGCCATCAAACAATTAGCGCACCAAGTGCGACGATCCCGGATAAAGGGGGGAGCCATAAATGTTCATAGGTATGCGGTAGCAGGACGACTGCATCCTACAAATACTGCAGTCCCTTGTGCATGGGCCACCCGTATCTGCTTTTGTCTCTGATGATGTTTTCGAGCAGGAATCCGAAACGTCAGGCTAATAAAGCTCTTGCCCCAGCGATCGTGTCTCCTTCTTCAATGAGGAGGTGTGAGTGGGAGGAGGCTAAGTGACCGCGACTGGGCTGGATCCACGCAGCCACAGTGATCTCGACCTCGTGACGGAGTGCGTTTTTGGCTGGGAACCGGGCGGCGTCTCTTTGCCGCGTGAGCGTTACACGTGACAGCAGGGGACCATATAAACTTGTCTGTTGGTGGACTTGGTGTCGAACACCCAGGCATCGAGCAATTCTCGCCTGGTTTCTTTGCTGACCCGTGCTATTATCTACAGAAGTTGAACACTCGTGGCCTTCCGCCCATATGTGACACAAAATGCTGGTTAATGACATGCCTTCCAGTGTTCTCTCCTTCATCTTTATGACAGGGAGGACCCGGGAATCGCACATTGGTCACCACACAGTTTAGCATCCGACTTCTAAAGAATACCTCTATATTGTTGGCCGCAAACTCCCGACGACAACTGTCAAAAGCCCCTGCCGTTAGTAGTTAGAGCGTAACCCCATGTCCCAAGTCTCAGCAGATTTAATCAGCCGGAGATCCCGTAATGGGTAGATGGCGTAACTAAAGTCTTACTGAAACCTACAAGGGTCAGTTATAGCATATGGGTTGATGAGCAGGCAACACACGGTAAAAGGGGAATCTCTCCACCTAATACTGGCGTTATTGTGCCAATTCCTGGATTCTAACCCTAAACGCAATCTAAGCCCTAACCATAAACCTAGCCCCAAACATAACTTCCCTAGAATTTGGCGCAATGCCGCCTAAATTGCGGGGGTTTATTATTTCCGTGACATATCGAGGAGCGGAAGTCCGAATCAACACAAGAATATTCTACCCAAAGTAAACTCCAAAACATTGGCTTTATTTCCCACCGTTCTAAAAAGTGGAAAGATCAGATCAGGGTTCGATTCAGGATTCCTTTGATCCAAAGTAGTTCTCTTGTCTCACATGTAGAGTTTTCCACGTCTTCCCGGAAGATCGCTGACTGGTCTTTTAACCTTTCTGGTACACTGTCTTCCCGATGAGTGAGTAGTGTAGGCGCATGTCTCAAAAAGCTGGGCTCGAAGATTGTGCATCGTTTATACTTAACAGTATTAACCTCTCAGGCTATTTAGTCATGCGTGTGTTTTGAAGGCATAAAATATTGTACCTTAACGTTTTAGCATTAGAAGTTTATACTGCTAAATATTCTCAGCGGAGCCGTATTTGTGAATCCAGAATCTATTATCACTAGCCCCCTGTTGAACTTACTAGCTGACCAGTGTGATAAAGAGGTTGCAGCTAAAATAAAAACAGTCGGAAGTGTGGGAAATTTAGGCCAACATGGTCCTTAACGATCGTCTCTTTTAAACACCTTAATTTGGCGAAGTTGACAGTATTGCCCGCTCACCAGTGCCCAGTGTCTCTTTCTTGAATCCTCTCGACGGACATCTGGAAAAAGGCTAAACCATTCTCTCGCAACAATACCCTTGCCCTTTTGGAAATATTCTTCGCTGCAAAAAGCAAAGTTCCCACCCTCACGCAAATTTGTAAGTTTGCTTTTATCCTCGAGCCTTAATGGGAACGGGAATGCGCTCACCCCAACAGTAAAGTATATATGCGAATGGCGTAATTGAAGGCTCCGCCTGACATGCTTCTGATATGTGCCTTAAACACTGATTGCCTTTTATCCCCTAGACGAGAGAAATGAGAAGGCCAATGCCGCCCATATATCGCAGTCAGATTGCTTGCAAGAGACTCCGTAAAAGTTCATAAGACAGTTTAGGTGCCAGGACATAGATAAGGGATTAACGAAGGTGATGAAATTAAAATTTACTAATTTAGCACGAAGCGATCCAAGTTTTCTGTCTTTGCTAACCCTGATTCCCTTTAGTATTAATGCTCTACCTACAGTAGGTGTGCTAACTCATGAAATGTCAACCAAAATTTCGAAATGCGTTCTCGTTTCGAAAAGATAAACTAAGTGGTGTTGTAAAACTAATCATGATGCAGCATAAAGCTATAATGATCCAGTTACCCCGGGGTGTCGGCTTTCGAAAGAACTTATTTTCGGCTGCATTCAAGATCCATACTCTGCAAAAAATGACTACTTGAGTAGCATGCAATTTTCTCATTGATTTTCGATGCCCTAGAAAGTGCAATTATATTTCATGGAAAACATGCATGCAAATATTCATTCTTTTACTTATTCGGTAGAAAATCACGTCTTCTTCCAATTCCATACTCAACAAAGAGTGTAATTCGGTTCTAAAAAAGTTTCTAATTGTGAGATTTTTAATACCGTTAAATGGCCCTTCATGAAACGTCATGTACATGCTTTTACGAATGTGGCTTGTAAAGTTAACAATATTGCTCAAATCCACTTCTTAATTTTATGAACCTCATATGGTCTCCTCATAACACCATAGAGAAATGCATGAATTTCCGTACACGGAAAATATACAGGTTGTAGTTTTGAAACCCTGAATGCAAGTGTAACAGCAGGTCGAGTTCAAAATTACTCGGGAATTAAAAAACTTTTTTAAAACCGAATTATAGTCTTCTTTTGAGTATGAAACTGAAAGAAGACGTGAGTTTCTACCGAATAAGTAAAAGAATGAATTGTTTTATGTATGTTTTCCATGAAATATAATTGCATTTTCTAGGGCATCGAAAATCAATGAGAAAATTGCATGCTACTCAAGTAGTCATTTTTTGCAGAGTATGGATCTTGTATGCAGCCGAAAATAAGTTCTTTCGAAAGCCGACACCCCGGGGTAACTGGATCATTATAGCTTTATGCTGCATCATGATTAGTTTTACAACACTATTTAGTTTATCTTTTCGAAACGAGAACGCATTTCGAAATTTGGGTTGGCATTGCATGAGTTAGCACATCTAATGTACAAAGGGTGACCGATCTCTTGAAATGTTGGCTGAAATTCTGAAATGCGTTTTCGATTAGGAAGGAATATTTAAAAACGGTTGTAATACTGATTATCTTGCTGCATAATCCTTTAACATTTCCGACTCGGCAGGATGTCAGACTTTGAATACAATGCTTTTCAAACTCCCACAGAAACCGTAGCCAGCTGCAAAGGACTAATTCTCGGCGGTCTTGCAAACTCAAATATAATTTATGAAGACCATGAACGAAAGTATGCTTTCTTTCAGTCGTTTGATAGGTAATCAAGTCATATTTAGATTTGATACTTGAAAGAGGAGTATAGGTAGGATTTTAGAAAAGTTTTTTAATTTCCGAAGAATTTGGAGCCTGTTCAATTGTTGCATTAGCGCTTAGTGATTTCGGTCTACAAGGTGTATGCGCTCAGCGTATAGAAAATCACATATTCTTCTATGCCTTTAAGAGGATATTACATAGGATCCATAAAATATTGCAATGGATGAAGACCGTATTTTTCATTTCATAAGAAGCAGCGGTAAACGTGCAGGTAAGATTTTATATGAAGGAACATTGCACGGTCTTAAAAAGCCCATAATTAGAAACCTTTTTGAGCATAATTATGCTTCTTCATCGAAAAAAAACACAAAAATACTATTATTCTCTATCAAACGACTGAAAAAAAGAATATGTTTGTTCATGTTTTTGTAAAAAATGTATGAATTTGCAAGAACATCGCAAATAAGTTGGAAGGACTAGTGCTACTTAAGTAGTTATCTTTTACCGAGTACTATTTCTGCAGGAGTTTGAAAAGCAGTGTATTCAAAAGCCCACGTCCAGTCAAGTCCGAAATGTCATGGAATTATGAAGCAAAATAATCAGTATTACTGCCGTTTCTAAGTATTCCTTCCTAATCGACAACGCATTTCAGAATTTCAGTCAACATTTCATGAGATAGGTCACTTACTGTACATCCCATTTCATTGGGATGCTGAAGCAACTCCTGACATAAATGTTTCGATCGCGTAACTGTGTCTAAAGCGCCCTGACAAAGTGTTAACTTTGCAACACTCTTCGTCCTAGTTCCATTTACGTTCCGCCCACCTTTTTTTTTCCTTCCACCGATTAGCGGATGTCTGGAGAGAGAGACTGGCTGAAGTCACTCAAGCATGCAAATTGCTGTCCTCTTTCCCTCCCGTAACAGCGGTTTTTTTCCATCCTGAACCACTAGAGACACAGTTAGGTTTGCATCTTACCGTTCACTGAACTCTGAAAGATGTCCCATCTTGCGGCCGATTCATTTGCTGAAGTTGGAGAAACCGTCGAATTCCTTAATTATCTCCGGCTGATAAAAATGGAGCTCTGTTCCTCTTTCATTCCTTGTGGCGCTAATTCGGCCGCAGTTGATTCGATCAAAACAAGTTGTGATGCATAATATAGCAGCTACTCGCGGCAGGCAAATCGATATACTTACAGTAGGTTACTAACTGAAAGCCATATTTTCCCAAGGTCAACTCTAAGCTTCTTAATCTGCTGGTCCCGCAGTTCCAGCGAAACCACACCTGAGGCAACAATGATTTTGGCAATACAAACGAAGACGCGAGTTCCAGGAATTAGTTGATAAGAAGTAGAAGCGAGCGCTGCAACAGGAGCTTTATTCGTCCGACGTTTCGGATTCTCGTTCGAAGCCATCTTCAGAGAGTCAAAGATACGGGTGATCCGTGCAAAATACTTGCAGTATTTATATGCTGCAGTCGCTATGATATTTTACACCTATGATAACTAATCGCTCTCCCCTAACCACTCACCTAATGGCATCGGACGATGAGACGAAAAAACCCACTGCCACAACGAGAAACATCTGGAGTCGTTTACCGGATCTGGTGCAGTTGGGGCAAAACAACTAAGTCGGAGAAGCTGGAAGACTGCTCTGGACGCGACTTGCCAAGCACGCGGTAGCGGTGTGGAGAAATGACGCCAACTCTCAAGTCGTGGCTTATTCGACGAGACGCGGCCATACATTCAAGTTGGAGGAGGTCTAAATTCCCGCGAGAGGTGATAATCGCGTAAGCCGCTAGTTGCCTGAGTCATGGTTCGCGGGACCTCAGTCTATCAATAAGTGCGACGACATCCCTACTCCATATTCCGTGCTGAGACATTGTCTAGCCAAGACAATTAACCACTCGGGGAGCGTGCAGGCTGGTGAGACGGATGGTTCGAGCCATCATTACGTCAGCATCCAACACGGGTGATGAGATTTCAGCAATTAAAAACTTGCGTGCCGGCCATTAGGCAATTAGCGCACCAGCGGGTAGCCATCCTCAATTAGGGCGAGAATGGTTAATTATCATAGGTGCGCAATAGCATAGCGACTGCATTCTATAAATACTGCAACTTCCTGTGCACGAACACCCGTATCTTTGAATGTCTCTGGTGCAGGGTTGGAGCGAGAATCCGGAAAGTCAGGCGAATAAAGCTCTTGTTCCAGAGATCGCGTCTACTTTTTATCAATAATGCTTTTTCCAGCGCCGATTACAGGCATGCTTAGACGTTCTGACTTTTTGCATAACCTTCGCAAACTTTATAACGGTGGCATTTGGAAACAACAATGCCTAACACAGAGCTGAATTCTTGCCTTGGAGGAACATTTATACTCTAGCACCTCCGTTCGAACTGCTCTGCAGACCTATTTACTTACGTCTATCTACCATTATCTATAAGAATTTGCCTCTTATTATGACTAACCTGTTAATTGTTTTGTCTGTGATGAAAGGGTTTTACGCAAATAAAATGGTGGAATACCTTTTTATACGCAGAGTAAAGAGTCGGCCGTGGCGCAAATTGTTAAATTTGTCCCAGAAGGAGGTCACCACACCCGCGATCGCCCTATAGGCTAACACCCTCTTAACAGACATGTGAAGTACGCTCGTGGATTACGTGAGCTAAAAGAAAACCAAAATGAATCCAGTAAGGGGATAACGCATTGCAGTTTCCCTAGACACTGCTAGCAAAAATGGAAAATTAATTTTACCAGAGTTTTTTCTATGAAAACAACAGACTCCCCTAAGAGAAGTGTGTTTCAAGGAAACTCCAGAGGCACTCCTCTGGCGTACGTTAATCGAGAAAAGGCTTTCTTCCCTTTCAACCCATTATTCATGCCAACCCCTCCGCTCGTGGTACTGCGTCAAAAGCTTCCTTTCTGTTCCCATTTCTTCCAGCTACGGCGATATGGTTCCCTCGACAATAATGGGCAAGATTGTTGGTGGACTATGTTCCCTGTCTGGTGTGCTTGTGATCGCACTTCCGGTCCCAGTCATTGTCTCCAACTTCTCACGCATTTATCAGCAGAATCAGCGCGCAGACAAAAGGAAATCGCAGAAAGTGAGTTGACGTTTCGCTGTCGCCCCTTTTTTCTAACTTCCTCTCAGTCCCAAGTTCCTCCAATTTTCTCGCGGTTCTTCTCACTTGGTTAGTGTCCTTCGTACTCCTTAAGCCAGATGCGCGGGCGATGCCATAAAAAAGCAAATGCTTGCTTTCTCTCTTTATATCTCATGGACTGTTAGCTGGAATACCAAAATGTGATTTGATTCGGAAAGATTAGTTGCATAAGATCGCAAAATGAACTATTGGGCAGGATAATCCCAATTTGGTTCTGCTAGGATATCGGCTTTTGAATAAAATTCTTTTCTGCCGCCTTCAGAGACCGCACTTTATGAAAATGAATTCTTAATTAGAGTGGATTTTTCCCAGTGACTTTCAATTTTCTTTTCAATTTAGGCATATTTGCAGAATGGCATTACCAACAAAGACAAGGGAGACTGGAATAGCCATTTCTGGCTTATTAGCCGTTGTCAGCCAGTTATACCCAGTGGTTAGAGGCGTGGACTTCTAACGAAAAGGTCGTGAGTTCGAGCCCCGAGTGTCCCACGCTTCGGGGTTGGGTATGACTGCCTGACGACGGCTAATAAGTCAGAAATGGCCATTCCAATTTCCCTTGTCTTTGTCGGCAATGCCATTCTGACTATATCATACGCCGCTGTGCGACTGGTGGTTGGGCTCGAGAGAGAGCCCGTAAGGCACATGTGAACAAATGAATTCCGTAAGAACGATCGGTGAGCGCCCCTACCATTAGGCATATATCTTAGGAAAATCACAGATAAAAATATATTTCCTTGCACTTATTTTGTCGGAAATTATGTCTTTTTAAAATTTAACGCTGGGAATGAGAGAATATTTAAGTTTTAAAAGGGCTCTTATTATGAGATTTTTTAAGGCTGTAAAATATCCACTCATAAAGCATCGTAGCTGCGCATTTCGCAACGCAGACAAAAACGTACACAAAATAACGCACATAGATTACAACGGCTTGCGATCCAAATATAAGATATTTTTAATAACATATAGAAATATACGATTTTCTTTACAAGAAAATACACAGCTTATAGTTTTGCAACCTCGAGCTCAAATGTAACAGCAGGTTGGATTACAATTGGACGGAAATCGGAAAGTTTCTTCACAGCAAATGATAGGCTTTCTTTAAGCATAAAACCTATAGAAGACGTAGATTATAACTAAATACATATGGAAGAAATGTGTTCTTGCGTGTTTTTAACCCATATTTGAATTTATAAAGACGACTAGCATCAATGGGGAAACTTCATGTCACTTAAGTAGTTGTCTTATCGTATGATTTTTTCAGGAGGCTTTGGGTTGGCTAAACTATCGTAGGATTATGATGCATGACAGTTAGTATCACGACTGTCCTTAAGTAGACTTTTCGAATTTAAAGCACAATGGAAATCTTGGTTAACATTTAATGCGATCTAAAATTTACAGAGGACATGTCTCCGAAGGTTAAGGGGAACAGTATTTTTGCCACAAGAAAGACCTTTCATAGCCCGCATGAACGGGCTTGGCAGTAATCAATTAAACATTGCGCAACCTCTAAATGAAAGACAATCCTGTAGGAATGTAAACGATATGGGAAAACTAAACGCTATTTAGTTAAATTCATACGATAAGCAGCCGAAAAATGTTGAAAAAATTACCTGAACGCTGTCTCCGCAAGAACGTCATGTATACTGTAGACTTCACTTGCATCTATTTCTGCTGTGCTATAAGGCACGCCACGTCTTCCGCGCAAGTCGACCCAGCGCTTTGGTAGAGATTTTCAACAAAATGACAAGCAGGCATAGTGCTCCTTTTGCTTTTCAGAAAACACTCCGTTTTTAACGTAACACTGTTTTAGTATTCACACTGCTCAGCATTCCTTGCCTTTAGGAAGAAGGATATCTAAGGCTGATGCTTAAACCAAATCGGACATATCAATTTTTTAAAGTATGCTGCTATATGCAAATTTCACGCACAAAACGTTAAGCTATTGGATGTGCAAACATTTCAGCATTGTGGCGTGGCCCAACATTCATCTCTGAAAGAAACCACGTGTCTCCCTTGATTTCTGCAATGACTTACTAGAGCGCTAAATTTCGTTTCCAACTCTTTACTATCAATGCTAAGGGACATACTTATCTATGAAAGAGGAAGGACTCTACCAAACGGATGTATAAAACTGTTGACTTTTCGGTGAACTTGGTCGGCTTGCCATTGTGAAGGCGCTAAATACAAAAATTGAACAGAAGTGGAGGTGGCGTCCTCAGTTAGTCGTCGGTAGGTTGACTGACTTTCCTGTTTCGCTGCTTCAACCTTTTGGACAAATAAAGAATAAAAGGGATCAGCCAAGTAGCTGTCTATTTCGGTATTTCGCTTCCATTTCTGTTTGATTTTTTGTATTTAACGCTTTAGCAAAGGCAGGCCGCATATCCTCTTCGAACCGTCGGCAAATTTGTGTCTTTTTGTAGAACTCTTTCTGTTTCTCAAAAACACAGCCCGATTATGCTAACTTTGTCAATCTGAACATATGCGCTAATTACATTTTCACAAGTGCACGCCGATTTTCTGATTTTTTACTTGAAAGACTTTACGCGGAAACGAAATAGTAGTAATTGTCAGAAGAGGATGGCCTTATACCGTTTTCAGGGTACTCGTTTCTAGGCTTAAATACTCTTATAGATTAAAAGGAAGAATTTTATAATTTTTGAACGAAACTGCGTTTCTTCAGGCTACAAATATTCTTCGTTGTAATAACCGGAAAAAGCAGATGTTCTTTAAAATGTTCTAGACAGTTAACGTGTACTCTAACACTTCCGAATATGCTACTCATTTGGAATTAGAAAACCGAAGCACAGTTAAATAAATCTCCCAAAAATCAGAAGTGCTTTAGGCGGACCTTAAGAAAGTAAATGAGACAACTGCTGAATTTTACATAAGGCTTTACTGTGGCCTGTTCAAGATCGATTAAGGCAGGCCTATACTGCAGACATAAAGAATAAGATCGCGCCGTTATATTCGCCGCTGGGCTACCCGGACATAACGGCGATAAGAGCAGTGGGAATATGCATAGGAAGACATCTCTTACATTCCCTCAACTGAGGGAAGATCTGTGGCCTTTTACTAAAGATTCACATGCGGAGGGTGCCGAACAATGAGCCTATACAGAAATTTGTGCATCATCGCGTTCTTTGGGAGGGGGGAGCTAATTCAAAGAATGTCATCCTGCCGGGACTAGGGCCGTCAAAAGGCACCACTGTATTCGAACAAACAACTCTACCGAACAAAGCCTACGTAGATAAATATTGTGAACAGTTCTCGATAGTGAATCTGCCCTGGTCATATACTTAGTCCTTAGCTTAATTAGGTAGGGAGTTAAATGAACAACTAACTACGGATTTGCTACATGGTTCGCATAATGCAGTATAGGCATTATTTTAAAATGAACTAGGCCGTAAACTGATAATTTAATTTCCGGAGAAGACTGAGAATCGCAAATTAGCTACTTGTTAAGTCTTTACTTATTGCTTTGCATATCTCAATCTATTGCCTCACTGCCAAATATAGTAACTGAATGGGGACGTTAGTTGCCTTATCTAACTTTCTGATTTCTTGCCGTCAGTCGTCACTCCCCGAGTAATGACGGATAGTATGCAGAAGTAGGAATAACCATTATGTCTACCAGCTAGCAATTTACCCATCATTTTCAAGAACATTCTGCAAAGGTCCGGTGGGAATTTGAGTGGCTTATTGATAGGAGAGAATCAGTCAATTTGGCGGCGGCTGGATAAATTAGTTGTTAACAATACACCGTCCCTTGAGTAACCTCTATCTGCAAAAAGTGTTGTGCGAAAAATATTTTTACGCTCTTATGTCTAGTTTTGAGTTCCCGCCGCGTTTATAGCAACCTAAAAATAGATTTAATAATTACCTTGGGAAAGTAAGAACCCACTTTTTCACTCAATGCGTCAGATTTTCTAATCTCGAGAGAGGGATAGGTAAGATACAATCAGTTCTTTTTTGGGCTAAAAATTAATCTTTTTCATCCCTTTTTCACTTTCACCGGGAGTATTACTAACGAGGTCCTTAGGTTTTTGGTGCTGCGCCTGTAAATTTGAAAGACCTTAAAATAAATGTTAAGTTCGAATAATGAAGCAATTACCTTGGATCACAAATTGCTATAAAATTGTGTCTTAAACAAAAGGTTTCGGTTGTTATTTTCCGGTCAATGTGCGTCTGCCCACGGGGTTTTAGGGCAAAGCGGCGAGTGTAATTTCCTTCAATCACAGAATACTCTCCCATCAGAGCAGACAAGAAGTACACCAACGTATTACGACGTTCAGTGTAATAATGACTAAAATAAAAAGTAGAAGCGATCGCTGGAACAAGGGGTTTATTCGCCTAAGGTTTCGGGTTCTCGCTTAAGCCTATCATCAGAAACAGTGGCAGAAACCCATTTTCGTCAATATTTACAACAGTGGGACAACAGAATAGGGGTCAATTTTTAGTGGAAAGGTGACGTACAGTAGGTGGGCTAATTCATGAACTGTCAGCCGAAATTCCGAAATAAGTTTTCGTTTTGAAAAGATTAATTTAGTAGGATTGCAAAACTCATCATCGTGCAGCATCATTCTATAATAATTTTGTTACTAAAGGATGTCGTCTTTTGAACGAACTTTTTTTCGACCGGATACAAGGTCTATAGTCCGTAAAAGTTGACTACATATGTAGTATGCATTTTTAGCATTGATTTTCGATGGCTCTAAAATTTCAATTATATTTCATGGAAAACATGCATTAAAATTCATTCATTTGCCCATTCAATAGGACATTACACTTTATTTTAAGGTTATATTCGAAAGCTGGGTATAATTTGGCTTAAAGAATGTTTCTAATAGTAATATGTTTGAATTCCACGTAATGGTCGTTAATAGAATGCAATGTTTCTGCATTTACCAATGTGGCTTGCAAATTTAACAATATGGCTTGAATCCGCCGCTAAATTTTATGAACTCCATGCGGTCTCCTCTTAATACCGTGGAGAGATATATGGTTCTCCGCACACGAAAAATATAGGGCTTATGGTTTAAAAACCCTGAATGCAAGTCTAACAGTAGGTCGGGTTTGAAATTATCCAGGAATGGGAACAGTTTTTGAAAACAAAATTATACCCCTTATTTAAGTAAAAAATTGAAATAAGGCATAGTCTCCTATTAAATGAGCAAACGAATGAATTTTTATGTATGTTTTCCATGAAATATAATTAAAATTTTAAAGTCATCGAAAATCAATGCTCAAAATGCATACTTCATAAGTAGTCAACTTTTACCGACTATAGTCCTTGCATGCGGTCGAAAAGAAGTTCGTTCTAAAGACAAAATCCTGTGGTAACAGAATTATTATAGAATTGAGCTGCACGTTGATGAGTTTTACAAATCTGCTTATTAATCTTTTTGAAACGAAAACTCTTTTCGGAATTTCGGCTGACATTTCATGAGTTAGCCCACCTACTGTAAATAATAGATGTTTAATTTATGGCACTTTGTAAGTCTCGAAAAATACTAGGTATGCCTCTGCACTATTGTGTGATTCGTCCCGAAAATAGAATACTGAACCCGCATAAATTAACCATGGATGGAATTTTTGTCTGTGTGTATACTTGCTAATTTCTACTCAAAATTGGTTGACGTTTGTGGAAGAAATATATGTCATATTGCATATTGCACTATTTAGTTATTATACGTATTGTATATTATTTGAAATCGAATACGTTCTTTGGGAAAGAGAGAAAACTTTATTGTGTGTATATTGTATATTATATATCATACACATATCGTATTGATACCGATACCTCTGGCATTTTATCTTGCACCCATTTTCATTTAGACTACATCGTCCTTCGGATTAAAAGATTCCAAACTACTTTATTTTACCGAATCACATGCATAGTTTATTGGATGTTATGGTATTTGTCTATCGATAATTAATTATTTGAATGTCGTCTAAGTCACAGTTTTTATGAAAATCTACGGACTCTCGATGTAATGTGATGAATTTCAAATAATCGGGTTAATCGCTTTCAGACGTCATTGTATAAGTGTGCATAAAACGTCAGCAGTGCATACAGCATAGTGTCAAATACAAGACAAACGCTCAAAGTATGCGGAGTAATTATACCGGCAAAATCAGGGGAGCTTTATTAAATATTTCCAGCCTATTAGCTGTCATTAGCTAACCATACTTAACTCCAGGTTGGCTACGCTTGAGGTTTGAACCCGCATTCTGTTGGCCAGAGGTTTGCCGCCCTAAACACTGAGCTAAGGACTCGCTGTTCTGTCGGTCGCGGTCGGGTATATTGTCTGTGGTAGAGTTCTCTCATCGAGTTCCCACAACGTAATAATAATCTCGACAGCAACCGATTGAACCACGAGCCTATGGCGCAGTGATTAGGTTGTTAAACCTCTCACTAACAGAGATCGCGGTGGGGTATGGCTGGTTGATGACGGACAGTAAGCCAGAACTGGTCATTCCAGTCACTATTGTGTTTGTTGGTGTACTTGTTTTGCACACATCAATAGGCCATGCACGACTGCCTGTGGGGTTCCAGATTGAGCCTTATAAAACAACTAAGCGAGTGTGTCCCGTAGAACGATCGCTGAGCAATCAAGAGCTCACAGAAATCCTTGAAACGGCATGTCTTTTAAAATGAATTCTTACTTTAATCGCACAAATCTGTGATGCATCGATGTTCCGCTCAATGGCAAAGTGTGAAAGCCTTCATTTTTAGTTTTTAGAACTAAGCACCAAGATTCCTAATAAGTATACTGATGCAAAACCCAATTTTCAGTGAGCACACGACCCGACACACTGACTGTATATGTGATATGATTGTCCTCCTGTTTACTTGAGCACAGTGGCTGATAGAGCCAATCAATCGACTACGCGTGCCATACACACACCTTGTCTGCGCCCGATGGACAAGGGTTTTACCACGAACGACAAGAGGGCGGTTTAGATGCACATTGAGTAGGAGTTTCATGGGGGTCACATCAGAAAGAAGTTGCAGCAATCCTGACACGGGACGTAGGTGGATAATGGAGAAGCAAGTGCGGTGGGTACGGGGTAAGTCAACCATCATAAAAATTTAATGGACGCGCAAGTGACCGTCACTGCGCCATCCTGCTGTGGGGTACATGGTGAACATCAGCGTTTGTGGCCGTCGAACTGGCCTTTCACTCACAGAGTTTATGTTACTGTCACAGTCGCCATCCAGAATTTGAGCTCAAATTTATCTTACTTGTGACCTCAACAGAGAGTTCGCTGACTCCTCTTAAAACACTGTAACTGCTTATCCTTTAAACCCTCGAGGAAGGAGACTCACATATGGACAGATGGTGGAATATGATGCCCGAGTCGATCTCGAGGCAACACATAGTTTCTACTCACCAGTTACTGATTTTGGAGCCTGTGTAGCGAGCTCGTGCAAGAAATGTAGCATGACTAGAACTGCCAGTTGCTGTTGGTAACGGACTAATCGACCAACATGTGTTGATTGCCAAAAACGGTGTAAAGACTGTTAAGAGCGTCCATAATATTTAAAAGTCCAAAAAAGGAGTCGTCAATGATTCGATAATGAAATTCTACAACATTAAAATCTCTTCCCAATCGAAACTACAACAGGGGAGGCAGGATTTACGACGAGATCAAAAGTTCGTCGTTCCGGACAACAAACTTTGGGACAAGGGGGTAACGTTAGCTACTATAACTTGGCACTTTACAGTAGCTAATCCCTATTCAATTAGTTTTCGACAAAGTGCTGGATTTCATTTCACCAGTCGTTGCTAGAATCTGCCATTACTCCTAATGAACTTGGCAAAGCCGTCTCGGTCTAACTGAGAGGCCGATATCCTGCTACAAAAATATGATTTTGACGGTTACGAATCGGACGTAGTCCTTGGTGGAATGTACACGTGGCATGAGGTGACAAGACAGTTTGCTTCTGAGAAGGTAAAAAGCAACGGTTTATTATCTCTGAGATTTTCACTCTCAAAAATGTCAGGCCTCCAGTAGGAAACATAAGGGAATATGAAAGCATGTCCAATCTAAAAACGGCTTCGGTTCTAATTTGTGTCCTGAAGTCTGGCGGTGCATAAATATGTCTGGTTAGATCGCAGTTGGTAGCCAGGACCCGTATTACAGGTGGCGGAGGGTTTGTTTACTGGGGCTATTTTTTGGGGTTCCATAATCACATCTGACCCATTTGAACTCCGTTTTACGTTTGAAGTTAGGATTAGGGTACCGGTTAATGGTTTCCGATTTTCAGGTTAGGGTTATGCGTTTAGGCTTAGATTTTCGCGTTACGGTAAGGGTTTGAGCGTAGGATTAGGGTTCAGTATTACGGTTAGTTTTTTCAGTTAGGGTTATGTCTAAGGGTTACGATTCCGGTTAAAATTTCGGTCAGGGTTAGGGTTGCCGATAGGGTTAACGGATAACGTTTACGGTCGACGTTAGGGTTAGGGCTAGGGTTAAGGTTAGGATTAGGGGTAAGGTCGTCGTCGGCCTCCCCATTTCTGGCTACCAACTGCGATCTAGCCGTATATCTCAACAATCACTCACTACTTCCCGTTTCCTCGGCTGGGAATTTTTTTTCTCTTGATTAGGATAATTTATCGTCAGTGTCCTGCGTGGCATTTCTGAACTGGATGTAGTAAAGGTCACTCACTGAGTGGATGTAGGACTGTGCGTAACCTGACCATATCTGTTTCCCCTCTTCTTCGTTACGGATAGACAGGGGAACTGGACCACACGGCGTCAAGTACGATTTGATGCCAAAACGGACGTCGAAGCAAAGTCCAACGTTTGTGAGGACAGAACTACCGTAAATAATGGGATGTTTTAACAAAACTTGCCGTAGCAAGAAGAACGATAAAAAATGGCGACTTTTCCGAAATTTAATCAGAAGTGTGTTTTGAAATGAGGGATGGATAAATGACCACTTGAACCTTTCTCAGGGTTCAGCAAGAGCTTTTATTATGAACAAAACGCATCTGTTGCATCCTCCCAAAGCCCAAACGACCTGACGTATTTATTCGCCTGGGTTCCTCTAACCTGTCGATAGGCGCAAATAAAGAGCAGAAATTTTGACTTCATAACGCGCAGATAAATCAAATCGCTGTTTTAACAGCGGAATCTGGATAAAAAGTGACAGATGACAAAGGAAGTCATCAAGATCAAACTGAGATTCGAGGGCTGTGTGTGGTGAACACGCGAATGAGATAATTCAGTAGTTTTTACCCGTTTGGTGGCAGTTTCCGAATCGATTGTTGTGTTTTTTGTTGTCATGAAACATATTGAAAACAAGCTTGAACGTGTTTCTTCACTCTTTAATCAGCATAACGAAAATGCAAACGGAGTAAATGGGAAGAATCAAGTGAATTTGCAAACTAATCGGTATTCACCTGCCTTCTGATTGCATAAACATTCATCTTATGTTTAGCCGGATTTAATGCATATGTTCTAGTATGACGAAAATGCACAGGGCTTCAAGTGCCTGACGCAAGTGTCTCGAATTCAGTTGCTCTGCGATACGCGCAGAAATAGTTTTCATTTTGTAAAGAAGATGAACACATGATCTCTGGGACAGCAGCTGTATTGGTCTGAGCTTTCGGTCTCGTACAGGAGGCCATCGACAGAGACTGTGAGAATGCGACATCAAATGAGCAGTTTTTGTAGTCAAGCCATGAAGAGGGGGGGGGTATGAGTACAGAGGGTGATATTCGCGATAAGGTGAGTCCCACGCTGTTTCACGGTGTCCTGACTGAGTACCCCCTTGGCTGGAAATTGGGTCTCGCCTCTTGGCCGCGGGAACGATGCGCGTGATAGCAGGGGGGGGGTATGTCAACGTGCCTGTCGATAGAGTGGGTGCCAGACACCCAGGCCTCCAATAGTTCTCGCCCTGTCTTATTTTCGGCCCGCGCTACTATCAGCGTATTCGCGAAGTTAAATTCGTGGCCTTCCTCCAGGGTGTGAGTTGCAACCTGAGACAACGGGTCGCCTCTCCAGACCGCCCGTTTGTGCTCCGTTATTCGCGAGCTAGATCGTCGTCTGATCTGTCCTGTGTAGTGGCGATGGCAGTCCCAACATGGGATCTGATAGACGACGCCCGATTGTTCTCCAACATCTAGGCGATCCTTCAATCGCATGGTCGCTGTCGGACGGTGAGCGAAACCCACGCCGAGCTCTCCAGCGATACGTTCCATCGTTTCGGACACGCTCTTTATATATGGTAGAGGGTGCCAGAGTGTTTGCGGCTCTCCTCCGTTTGTTCGCCGTGGGTGTGTGTGAAGGCAGCTGCTGACGAAGTAAAGTTCGGTAGACGTACGTTTTCAATTACTCATCATCAGGCCTGTTCAGTAATAAAAGAAACAGAAGAATAGCAAAAAGTAAAAAGCCAAAAAATTCATTATGGGTAAGGAGGTTGAAAGGCGTTCAGATGTCAGGGCCTAGTTCTGTCAGGGGCTTAGGGAGGCGGAGGAGGAGGGTGTCTGGCGATTAGCTGTACCAGTTTCATCGCTGTTACGTGCCGTAGTAGATGTAAACACATACGCTGGGATTGGCATTGACCAGCGAGCACAAGGCTGGTTTGGCTAACCGTATGGCCACTGCCTTCGCCGCCGCAGAGGTCGTCCGTATTGCTAAGGATTCCTATTTTGCATTCTACGCAAAATTGTTATAAAACTCGACTGGTGAGTCAAGAGAGCAATTAAACGCACACACGCTTAAATACTACGGGGGGGGGAAAGCTAGCATTATGGAGTATGATAGCGTAGATTGCAATGTTGGCAATCTTCCACTGTGAAAAACGCCGTCGTGAGATGTTTTAGGATTTTATAAGGCGCGAAACATAAGTCAATTTATTTGAAATCGCGTGACCAGATGTGGGGCACTGCGGTATCCGCAGAACTCATGAAGTATGATTTCAACAGCCCTCATAGAGCCGGTATTTCGAATCGTGTTCTAAACACGATAAATTTGAGCAATAGGAGACACAGCAGGGGATTTTCTTGTATAACTAGGCCAGAGAAAACATATATTCACAGAGCACAGATGATTTTTGAGACAAGGGTCGGCAACCATTTAAACAATCGCGGTCACACTAGATGACAACGTTATAAAGAACGGAGTTAAATACACCTTTCCAGTTTATTTAAAAGAGTGATATGTCGCCTGAGTAATTTTTCTTGCTCCTATAGGCGTCAAATGGGCATGCAATTCATTTTCAGAACTTGTTTAAGCATTATTTGTGAACATTTTGAAGACTAGTCTTCCTAAAATCAAACTGGCAGTCAGTAAGAGAGTCTAGTAGCGAAAGGATCCGTTTGCAATACTGCATCCCAGCCCAAGTGTCGCAAGAAATTCCAAAAGTTCATTATTGTTTTATTTGTTTAAAAATTCGCTCTCTGTTGCTGATGTTGCACTCGGGCTTGGACGCGTATATTCAACTGACCAGTCAGTATATATGCGTGTCCGCGGACGCATGTGTGGTTGATTAGCCAAGTCCCAAGGCGCCGGGAATGCTTAACAGGGGCGTTGTTGATTGCGATTTTTAATTAGTGCACTCGACAAAGGTGTGCTACGTTGGGCTGCTTCGGGTTTTATCGTTTGCGACACACTGGCCTGCAGAAATCGCCAGTAGACTAAGTAAAGCAGCCAGAACTGGAGTCATAGGCCATTAACCAAAGTTAGCGTGGGAGTTTTCGCCACGTAGGAAGACCGTCACGGCGTCGATTCGATAGTATGTAACACGGTGGAGAACGTGATTATACTGAGTCTGAAATTGCAGGATGGTAATTCGAAGCAAACCATCAGCGAATCAACTGTAAGTCATGGGGAAGAATAAATCCGATCAGAACAGAGTTATTGAAAGAAAAATGAAATAAAAAAGCGTTGGAATTACCGCTAGATACACATGTGTTTTTTTACAGACTGAACTTTTTTTGCGGAAGTCTTCCTTCTGCCAGCGCTATTAAGCAATGCGAAAATAACGTTTTTGGTATCATTATAAAATGCCCTTTTCCATCATGCATAGTTGCTGGGACATTTTGAATGCACAGGTTTCGCAACTTACTTTTTTTCACCAAAGGCACATATGAAGGGAGAAAATAACTATTTTTTGCTTGATGCAAATACCTGAAAGTGGTACGCGAAACTCCTACTGCAGACTGGCCATCCACATTTGGCTATCATTTTGAAGTGCTCTAAGTCGTTGCACTGATTCTGTTTTAGGCCTGGTTGGACAGTTTCTATTTCAACAGTCTGTGACTAAGCAAAATGAATTAACCGACCCCTCCATACTACTGAAGGATTTGTTGTGGTGGAGCAAGAGGTCGGTAGGCGGCGAAAATAAACCCCTGCAATCATGACTTTGGAAAATAATTTAGTCCTCGCTCAAGACCTCATACTAAACCAGTCTCAGTTGAATCGATTTTGGATTTGCAATTAGCACAGTGTATGTGTTCACCTTCCAGCGATTGCAGTCGCCGAACTGCTGAGAGAGCAGTTGCAGATAGAAGCGAAAGGATGCGTTCCAGGATGCAGTGCAGAAGGTGTAATCGCTGAGGCAAGAAGTTTATTGGCCCGACCTTTCGGATTCTCACTCGAACTCATCACCGGAGATGTTCACAGGTAAGGATAGTGGAGGCACAAGGATTGCAGTAGGTGTCGGACAGAGTGGCCGTGCAACCGCATGTCCACTCTGCTCAACATCATCCGCGTACATCGATGCGGATGGGGTGGGGGTCGTCGTCGGAATTATCGATCGCCGGCCAAAGGACCATGACATAACAACTTGCAGCTTGCGGCCTTGTCAAGCACAAAGGTATGAGCCGCTAAGAATATCAAAATCACGGCCGGCAAAGAATCAGCTGCGAAATAACAGGCAATCCTCACGTCATATGCGACCCCAGCGGCTTATTAGAGTAGGCCTGGGGTTGTATTTTCATTGTGTCGTATGAATACCGCGTTCCTCATGTTTCGGTGGCCCTTGTCTGCCACTGTTCCGATGATGGATTCGAGTGAGAATCCGAAAGGCCAGGCTGCTGAACTTCTTTCTTAGAAGATCGCATCTCCTCGTAAGTGAGGAATGTGGTAATGTTTCATGTCAACTCTGGAAGTAATTTGTTACTTTTGCGGCAGGATAGAATTAATTATATACCAAATAGTATGTAGACAGAGAAGTACCGACGAAGACAGCGGAGACTGATGGCCAATTCTGGCTTATTGGCCTTCGCCAATCAGACCCACACAATGGCAGCTTTGCAGAACCTGTGATTCGAACCCGGATTCCTTGTCTTTATCACTACTTATCATATGGTTTCATGATTTGTTGCTATTCAACTGCCTCAAGAGCTCCATATTTAACCCCACATTAAAATGGGCCGGGTATGTTCTGTGACGTGGCCGCCGAACATGGTTCCAATGTAGATTAAATATGATATTTTGTACTAATAAATCCTAACAATTAGACCAAGTAAGTTGCTCTTACAGAAGGTGCATTACGAGCCTGTTACGTCGGGAGTCTAATGTTAGACTTAAACTCCGTTCTCCATGCCACACACAAATGAACCCGGCTCCCACCTACAGGGAGCCTGAAACGGATAACTTAATATTTTATTCGAATCCAACAGTTCACCATTCCACTAAACACAGGGCTCACCAGTCCGCCACAGTTTTCTTTTCCATTGTCTTTTCAAATCTCGTATTGGCCGTCCACTTTGCGCGTACTAGTCGGCAAGGCGTTGACATATTTATCAGATCTCAAATATAGATACAATTAGATAGTTCGTGAAACGCTAATCGAAATTCTGAAATGCGTTTTCGTCCCGAAAACAATACCTAGGGAGGGTTTTAAAATTAACCGTCGAGTAGCATAATTCTATAAATATTCAGTTTCTGCGAGAGGTCGACTCTCGAGCGAAACTCTGTTGGGCCGCATGCAGAAATCACATTGTACAAAATGACTACTTAAGTAGCATGCACTTTCCTCATTGATTTTGAACGCCCTCAAAAATTCAAATATATTTCATGGGAAACATGCATAAAAATATTTGTGCTTTTGATCATTCGGTAAGAAAAAACGTCTCCTTAAAATTTTATACTCGACCGAATGGTATAACTCGGTTTTAAAAAACCTTTCCAATTCTAATTTACCACTTTATAACCAACATCAGTGAATGCAAAGATGCGATGTTTTATAAACGGACATTTCACGGTATTTAAAAAAATGTTGTAATAAGATGCCTATGTGAAACCGAGTTCGTGCAACGTAAGTAGCCATTTGTAACAATCTTGTCTCTGTATGTGGCCCGAAATAAGTTCCCTCGAAGGCTGACACCTCTAGAAAACTGAATTTGTGTAGAATTATGTAATTTTAAAACCCTACTTAAGTGGTCTTTTCGGGACGGAAACGCATTTCAGAATTTTGGTTATCATTTCTTGAGTTAGCACACCTACTGTACTCAGCCATCACAGCAAATGCCGACACAGCGCTTCTTACTTTCACCATCCTAGCCACAGCTGCAAGCACGCAACAGCCAGCATCGTACACATCTGTCTTGATTGAGCAACGCCCAATAAGTAGCCCTTCCGTCAAGTCACGCATCGTGGGCATTAGTAGTTTCCTCCTCAGTACACATTGAAAACTGTAGTTTTACAAACATCCGGAAAATAATCGTTGAGAATGTACAAAATAAAACTAGGCCATGCCCAGAGCTGGGTATCCCAATTTCGATCTGCGTGTAATTTTTATCATTAAATGTTTATCCAGTTAACCGCAACTAGTATGTTCTCGCCTGCTTTCCTTAAACAGAAAGCGCGAATTGAACGGATAAACCGAAATGAGGCAACCGTGACTGGCGTGCACTCAGCAGCCTCCCACTCATCTGATTCTTTTTACGATTTCGGAGATGACGGAGGCGGTGGTGGCGACGTCTGTCCCTTAGAGCAAAAGTACGGCAGCGACGGGGAGGACAACGACTCCGAAGGGAGCAGAAATTGCGCTGACGCCGCGGCTCGGTTTCAACAGAAGAAGGCCAAAGAGGATGCGAGGCGGAGAGGAGACCAGGAAGCCTCACCGTCCGGGGAGAGCACGGGCCAAGCCGCCAGATCTGTTGCTGCTGGGGCGTTGATGAAGGACAGACGGAAGAGCCGGGGTAGAAGTCGGGGGGAGAGTCTTGCGCGACGGAATCACAGTCCCCTACCGGCGGTAGACCACCGCGCGTTCATTGCCTCTCTCGCCTCGGCCCACGGATTGACTTCGCGAGTAAACCGTGCTCAGCTGATTCACCTCTTTCTCTGCCTCGAGAGGGTGGCTGTAAGTCTCTCTTTCTCGGCCGTCACTCGCATGCTTCACTGTTGTTGCGGGTATTACACCACCGCCTCACACCTCCCATCCACCCACCATTTTCTGTGCGTTTACAGACTTCGTTTTAGCTTTTTTGACATCTAGAGCAGAGGATCTGCACGTGATGGCCGGATTATATGAGGACTAGCCGCGAGTTGAGCGTTCATATGCCATGCGTTTCCGAGATTAGGGCTTAATGCAGAAAGCAAGTTCCATTATTTGGCAAAGGTAAACTACCCAACAAATTAGTTTCTGAAATGCTCTTCTTCTTAGGTATGGGAAAAAGCTTTGTTTTTTCTTATGTCAACGGTAAAGGAATTTTAGGTGCAAGGGAATGACAATTTTTTAGCCTAGTTGCTAAAAAATTGCGGTCTTTCTGACGAAGTCTAATAGGTTTGAAAGAAAAAATTAAAACAAAAAGTGATAAAAACAAAACATACAACAGACGTACTATACAAAGTTCTTGACCAAAGGATTTTTTAAAACTGGTAAGCAAAGAAATTTATGCAAAAACCATGCCTATCACTATGATCACCATAGAACATTGTTTCCTGTCAGCGAGTCAGGCCGTTGAATCGATGCTAATATTCAAAATATTAAAGAAGACACTATGACGGATCTTACTTCACTTTGCAGTGTTCCTCACAAAAATAATCCAAGATGTGTATAAACATGCAATTTCAGATCTTTTGCAATTTTGCATGAGAAACAGTTTAATACGAGATCGTACAGCCTCTGTAAAGACTCATTATGCATTATCGTAAGCGGATGTTAGCTTTTTAAAGAGGAAGGACTTTTTTAGCGCAATTCCAAGAAACAGAATGGAAAGCAAAATACTTCTAGGTCGGATACTACCGGACCTCTCACTTTCATCTTCAATGAGCCACAATCCGGCCCCTGTGCAAATAACTCCCGTAATTCAAGTCATGACTGGCGTTTTATGCGTTTTTCTGTGGATTTGTCTGATAAATCCCGGTTTATTCCCTCAAAATGGATACATCCAAAACTTTTTCAGGCTTCCCGCACACGCAGGCATATCTTCTTTGTTTTTTGCATTGTATGCAAATGATATATCAGTATAAGCGTACTTATTTTTCACAGTCGCTTAAAACTGATAGTTAAAATGTGCCAAAAACGCCCTTAAATGTATTTGAACCCGCAGATCATGAAGTACAATCGGATCCTTTATCTATTGTTAAGAGTTCCAAACCGAACGTTATGCATCTATTAATAAAAACATATAAATACACTTTTGATATTTCTACTAAGAGGAAGTTTGTTCTTTATATATTTAAAGGTCTTCCGGTCCTGGGTTGATGCATGATTGGTTGATACTAACAACTGAAAAAATATAGTGTTCTGCGTTCTTATTAGAGAAACAAGTAAAACATAGCGCACTTTTCGTCTCCTCCAGAAGGCCTGCATTTGGTAGAAAACTGTCTCGTCATTTAACCTTAAATTTTGAAGTTTAGAAACTTAAACGACGCGTATTCTCGAAGCATCTTTAACGACCTATCAAAATAGGTCTAAAGCGGAAGGTATAAGACCAATTTTCGGATGCTCCGAGCATAAATAATTAAACAAACACCTTCTTAGCTCTTAGAGACTGTGAGCTAGTGACCGACATAAACAACCTTTTTAAACACATTGTTGTTATTATGCCTTTGTTGTTCTAAGCTGAACAGAGGCTTAGCAGAGTAAGTTGAGTTTTGGTCGATTCATTAGAAAGTTTAAATTATTTGCATGGTTAGTGTACGGAAGGCGACCCATCAAATGCTTTTCTCGGAATTCTCTCTTAATTGGCCTAGTCTCCTCCTACCTACCGAACCATAATACCCTTAAACCCTAATCCTATGGGATTTCCGATCAAATATGTTCGAAGAACAAGCCGGCAGAGGAAGCACCTCAGTTGCTTTCAAAGGACATTTGAATATGGACTTGACTGACGGTGAACCGGCTGTAGTGTTATTTACATATCTGGCTTGCAGTAAAACTGGTCAAGTGCGTAAAATGTTTAAGATCAAAATTGTTTTGAGAAGTTTAAATGAATTAATAATCCTATATATTGTATCAGAAGTTGCAAATATCACAGCGCTAAATACCCTCAAAGAAACCCGCTATAATACCGAACTTTAAAGACTTATTTTGATTTCATCGAACAGTCCAAGGACGTCAGGTTTGTCTGGGGAGGTTAGGTTCCACTGCGATATTTTGTTGCTAAGCAATGTACAGTAGGTAGCTAACTCATGAAATGTCCGCAAAAATTCCGAAATGCGTTTTCGTTTTGAAAATATTAATTAAGTAGGGTTGTACAATTCGTCAGCCTGCAACATAATATTTCAGTTGCCAAATGATGCCGGCTTTCGAACGAACTTCCTTCCGGTTGCATGTAAAAACTACACTCTGGACAAAATAACTATTTAATTAGCTTGAATTTTCCTCATTGATTCTTGATGCCTCTGAAAGTATAATTATATTTCATGGAAAACTTGTATAGCATATTCATTCTTCTGCTGTTTCGGTAGAAAACAACGTCTTCTTCCACCTTTATACTCACAGAAAGGACATAATTCGGTTTCTAAAAGTTTCTAATTGTGCCACTTTTAAATACAGTGAAATGGCAGTTCCTAAATCGCCATGTCTTTGCATTTACCAATGTGGCTTAAAAAGTTAACAATATGGATCCAATCCACTGTTAAATTTTATGAATTGTATGTGGTTCCCTTTTATTACCGTAGAGAAATTTGTGGTTTTTCGTATGCGGAAAAATCATGGCCTGTAGTTTTGAAACCCTGAATCCAAATGTAACGGTAGAGCGGGTTCAAAATTATTCGGGAATTGGAATTGTTTTTAAAAACCAAATTAGACCTTTCCTTTGGGTATAAAATTGGAAGAAAACATAATTTCCTACCGAAAGAGCAACAGAATAAATATTTTTTTGCATGTTTTCCACGAAGTATAATCGGACTTTTAGGGGCATCGAAAATCAATGAGAGAAATTCATGCTACTGAAGTAGTGGTTTTCTACAGAGTGTTGTTTTTGCATGCAGCCGGAAGGAAGTTTAGTCGAAAGCTGGCATCCTAAGATAACTGAAATATTATATGATTATGCTGCTTAATGATTAGTTTTACAACCCTGCTTAATTTATCTTTTCTAAATAAAAACACATTTCGGAATTTCGGTTGACATTTCATGAGTTAGCCCGCCTACTGTACCTAGGTAGCCTCTTAAGAGACAGACTCTTGTAAAATGAACGACAGACTACTGAAACAAGCTAGGTTTGTAGGCCACTTGCATTATTGGGTTATTTAGCATGGCTAGTCGGGATCCGAACCACGGATGAATCCTGTGGAAAATGTCATTATTCAAACGTAGTCAGGATAGAGAAGTGACACAAAGTCCGTTTAATCATTCGAAGCTATTTGGTAGGCTGGTTTGTGGCATTTCGCAAAGGATGGTTTATTTTTCTAAGCCATAGAAGAAACGCAGTTCACTGCCTGGTTTGCTTTTTTAGAAGTCGAAACAAATTACAGTGGCATCCAAAAAGGCCCTTAATGCATCATCCCGGGTCCCAACAGCAAGTAATGCTACCCGACCCCCCGCGTCCTCTAGCTATAAACACGCAAACTGCCTGCTTTATCCACCCTCTCCGGGACGGTTGGATTTACGCGTTAAACAAAATTCTCCAGCAGTAGTTTACCAGTATATACCGATTGTCAGCATATTAAAAGCAGAAGCTACAGCAGCAAACTGCGGGCAAATTCTGTGTCAGCGGGGGCTAGAACAATCCTTCTAGATCTATCCTCATGGGTTCAGCACGGCAACGTCTTCAGTCCTAAGTCAGCCAATCCAACAGTCGATCTAATATTGGGGAATCGTTGATTTTCCGAGGTCCCCTAGACACACACACACACAAGCACACACAAAGCAATTCATTTGACCCAACTGCAGCAAAATTGGCGTTCTCGATGGGATTCCATCTCTGATGATGGATTCGAGTGCGAATCCGAAACGTCAGGCCAATAAAGTCCTTGTTTTAGTGGTCGCATCTTCATCCCCTGGGGTTTAGTACTGCCTGCACTTTAACCGCCCGACCGTGGGCCCTGCGTTTGATCATATCTGAGTAAATTCCCCCCCCCATCCCAACCAAATGCAGCGTACGGAGTCCATCGAGACCTCCGAGGTCGACTGATAATGCATATCAATCTAAACTATGGTCCTACCTTAGGAGAGTAATTTTGTTCACAGTGCCATAATCAACAAGTAGAATACAAGTTATTTTTAAAATACTGATTCGGTTTTGTTTTGCGTCAATTTACTTGGTTGAATCGATAATATCCTATTTAGTAGCCGCATCGGTTATGGGCGAGTTAGGGAGTTAATGTTAAATTCCCTATTACCACCGGTCCCATATGACAGGCGGCTGGGACTTGTCTAATGCAGGTGCGACTACGAAAAAAGATCCGACCTTGAAATCATTTGGTGGTTTAGGAAAAGGTAAATGTACACGTCGTAGACCTGAATGCGTAAGAATAGGTTTTCATATATCGAGGATGGTTGTAAAGAAGGCCATGTCTATGATAACAATAACGGCAAGAATTGTGAATTGTTTTTGGCGTTATTGCAGCTACAAATCCACCAACCATGCTCCCAAATGTCCGCACCGCCTAATCCGCAGGCTTCGGTAGCCATCACGTTGAAAAGACTGCATTTTCTATAGCCATACAGGCTCGTATTATTTCGCAAGCCTGCATATACCACAATTGCCTCCCGCGCTAAATAACACCAGACAATATCAGTTGCAGCTTGTAAGCTGAAGTCTATTAATAGAACAAGTCCTTCTATAATATGGTCCCGACGGTCTAAAATATGGACTTTAAATCAAAAAGTACACAATGTAGGATGGACCTGCCCAGGCCGAGAGACAAATAGGTCGCGTCGGACGCTCCATTAACGTTTTCAGGGGGAATGTACCAAACAATTCGACGTGCGTCTACCAGTATAAATTATGGACTGTTGCGTCTGAAAAGTAGCTACAAAGTAGCTGACAAATGTTTATGCCTTCTTTTCATGTTAATGTAATAGTATTTCTGTTGAAATTTAACGATATTTCTTGGCAAACTTCTTCGGGTATACCAGTTTGGCGTTTTATCAATAGAAACTGGAGATGCAATGGAGCTCTTTGGCCTGAAGACTGTTCGTAAATATTCCTTCATTTTGCAAAAAACGAGTCTTAATATTATTAACTGATGCAGTTCTTCAAACTGTTGGAACTTTTAAAGCCAGAACTTCGGGGTCGACACGCTCAGTTTTCCTTTAATTTACAAATAACGCAGGGAACGTTCCTTTCTACAAACTGATGGTTAAGGGGTGTTTAAGAGGCATAATTAGATGAAGTTTTAGAAGCATTGGCATTTTTTTGGAATGTCCAAAAAGTACGACGAGAAGTTGGTATATTATGCACGCTGCGGAATTGAAAACAACTAGTCCTAAAATATTTACTTTGGGCGGAATTAAATATGCAAGCAGCTTCCCATGAATTTGCGCGTGCATATCTATTTCAAGAGCTACAAGGTTAAAGTTAAAAAATGGGAGGCACTGCGCCATTTTGAGTGGAGCATCTATTTTATGATTTTCAGATCCCCAGTGATGAGATAATCCTAAATGTCTACGTATATCGACAGATTTTTAGATAGTTGCTTAGTAGACAGAAGAACTCCTGATGTTTCGAGCTAGCATGTATTTTCGGGCCTTCGGGCAAAGGCGCTGTTTCTGCTGTGAACTATGTCCTTGCGTGTATGTTTGGCTTGGACGTCTTCCTATATCTCTTTGTTTTACGAATGATTATGCACAATCCCTAAGTAATGACCGACTATTATGTCATAAAACCAATACCTAGACTGTATATTTGAGACAAACAGGCAAAGGCGAACATTCCTCTGATGAATGCTACCGCAGACAGGACTTAGAGTAATGAAATTATACTCACCTCCTTATTCTAAGTCAAAAGAGGAAATATTTACACTAGGATGGCTAACTCATGAAATGTCAGACGAAATTCCGAAATGCATTTTTGTTGCGAAAAGATTACTAAGGCAGGGTTGTAAAACTAATCATCAGGCAGCATAATTCTATAAAATCCAGTTATCTCAGGATGCTTGATTTTGAGCAAACTACTCTTGGTTTGCATGCAAAAATATACCCTGTAAAAAATGACTAATTAAGTAGCAAGCAGTTTTCTCATAGCATTTCGATGCCCTTAACATTTGATTATATCTGATGAAAAACATGCATAAATATATTCATTCTTTTGCTTATTCGGTTGAAAATGAAGTCTTCTTTTAATTATTTTACTTAAGATGGAGATGTAGTTCGGTTTTCAAGAACCTTTCCAATTTCCGACTAATTTTTAACCGGACTTGCCTGTACATTTGCCTTCAGGGTTTCCTAACTACAAGCCGTATATTTTCCGCATACGGCAAACCATACATTGCTCCATGTTAATAAGAGGTGACCATATGGGATTCATAAAATTTAGCCGTGGATTTAAGCCCAATTGTTAACTTCACAGGCCACATTGTGAAATGCAGAGACATGACGATTTATGAACGGCCATTTCACGCTATGAAAAATCCTACAGTTGGAAACTGTTCGCAAATCGAAGTAAACCCTCCTTTCGGCTACCAAATGGGAGGAGGACGTCAGTTTCTACCGAATGAGCAATAGAATGGATATTTTTATGCATAGTTTCCATGAACTATGATTAAATTTTTTAAGAGCATTCAAACTCACTAAGAAAAATGCATGCTACGTAAGCGGTCATTTTTTGTAGAGTGTAGTTTTTGCATGCAGCCGGGAAGAATTTCGTTCGAAAGCCGGCTTCCTGTGGTAACTGAATTATTATAGAATTATGCTGAACGACAATCAGTTGGACAACACTATTAAGTCGATCTTTTCGGAACGAGAACGCATTTTGGAATTTCGGTTGACATTTTATGAATTAGCCCGCCTTCTGTAATTTTGCACTTGCATTCGACTATGCGGCTATCTTCCAGAGTGAAATCAGCCGAAGTTCTGGCGAGCGCTTCCATAGATTACAAACGTGTTTAAAAAGTTGGTCGTCTCTTGCACCTATTTGATCCCGAATCGGCCACTGACTTGAGACAACAATTAGGTGTCTGATCCTGAAACCGGTCTTGAGGCGAAACTGTCAATGTCGTCTCTTATGTCCAGCAGAGTTTAGGTGAAACTTACTACGTTGAAGAGACCGCTGAAAGATTGTTGACCATATGAATGAGCACGTAAGAGCGCTGGTAGCAGAAAACTGTGGAGTTCCTGGACATAGCCTCGGTTTCACGGACTCCTAAATCCTGGGTCGAGAGCGTGACAAAACGTCTGGAGAGACGCCTATAAAGGGCTACGTGTGCAGTTCAGCAAGCAGGACCACGGACGGAAAGTCAGAACAGACAAGGCGGTAACGACCACAGAACGAAGGAGGACACGGGCGGCCGTGGACAGATATCTGACACGAACGCAAACATACGAGACCTCCTGTCAGGTCTGGAGACAGGCGAACGCGAGCACACGTCGGGAGTTATCTAAATAACCCGGATCGCCAGCGTGATGACACCAGAAAGGTCAACAGTGGCGTGACAACCACCGATCACACGCTTGCGCACCAGGTGTGAATGAAGGCGAGATGAGCGAACCGCAGAAAATAAGAATGGACAATGCAGACGAGAGCACTGACCCTTGTCCTCTCGATGACGTCCCCACCTCCAAAGAGGGTTGTGGGGGGAACCTTCTACCCGCATGGCAACGACCGCCTACACCACATTGTCCCCCTCGTAGATGACCATGTGACCAGCGGCAAGCCAGCTCGAACAACACCCACTGAAAGCTGCAAAGTTCTGTCGGAAATTGGCCTTTGACGATGGAATGTTATTTGCTTTTAAAACGTCAAAGTAATAAACTAATGGTTCCCGTAATTACCTTACATCTTCAGGATGAAATATGCACAGTTCTGTTTTCCTAGAAAAAGTATGGCCGAATTCTTTGGTGATTAGTCAGCCCTTATTTAAGCCTTAGTATTGGGGGCGTGGGTGCTCCGACTGATCAGTATACTAACGACAGAGTGATTATTTTGTTCTCCCTTATATGTTAAAAACGAGCTTAGTTTACTGGTAGCTTATCTTTGCACAACCGATTGCGTATGCGACGGCTTAATTAACGGGTGAAAAAATGCCCCAGGGGTTAGAGTACAGGACTTCTGCGTCAGGAATTGATACGCAAGTATCCGAAGACGACTAACGCATCCGACGTAGCCATTCAAGTTTCCAACTCCATTGGTGCTGATAACCGTTTTCAAGGAAAATTATGTTAAAAGTTCATAGATTACGATGCAGTACTTGACTTATATCGTTTCCCCTCTCGCTATGGCTCAGGTTTTTTTCTCAATACAGCATTCTCACATGAAAACGGTCCACTTTCTGATTTCAGAACCGTGTCATCCTTCTCAAGGTCAGTAGGGTCCTCAATATGGCACACTAAAACAGAAACCCTAAATGAACCGTCTGCCTTTCCATAGTCATGGCTATCACGCCGCTTTCCTAATCCTTTAAGAGACATCAAGTAGTCAGTAGTCCTTGGCAGCTTACTGGTATGCGCTTTAACAGTAGGCATGACTTCGATTGCGGACTTCAGTATTTGCCCGCTACCTGACGAACGTTTAAAAGTACACACTTGGACTGCCGGTGAAGGAAATTATATGTTTTGAACTGAATTTGGCCCCAACTGCGTAGGTCCCTTGCGGAGATATATAAAGCAGGCCATACAATTCCCTCCCCCACTCTCGAATAATATGCCTGCACAGTGGAACAAAAATTCGAACAGGGGCAGTTACAGGTTTGTGGCTGAGGCTTGTGCTGGTCTATTCAGACTGTCAGATAAAGCGTTGATGCAAACGAATGGAACCTTAATCAAACTACACAAGTCAGCAATGGGCGCTCGGGGAATGTTGGCTATTTTACACTTCCATGTAGGACTCCTATCTTCTGCAATTTCATACTTCTGTCCAACACAGGATCGACAACTTTCTCCAGCTATTGAGCCAGTGAAACATGGTCCGATTACGCATGGTTCCAACTACAAGAAGCACGGTCTGGGTATCAGGGTTAGCAGCGCCAGTGAGACATGCATCCATCAGGCGGAGACCCTGGAGGCAGTATCCCCAAACAGTCTATCATCCAGCGACTATCCCCCGGTCTCCGGTCCTACGGAGAGCAGACAGTGTTCCCGCCTGAGGCGTTACTGTCTTCGCTGCTGCAGCCATTCGAGGTCAAAGAAAGCGACCAACGGCGAATTGCAGGTAATAAAACGCCCCCATACTGTGATAAACCAGCTGTCTACCTCTGTAAAGGCCGTCCTCGAGATAAAGGGATGATTTTTTCAGACTAAACATCCCGTTCGCGTCTACAAAGAATAACCTCTGTGTTACGTACACTGAATGATATAACAAGTAGGACTTACCCGGACGTTGGAGTTTACGCTTTGATTATTCGAAACCACCTAGGTTCTCATATCACATTTCTTGTGATAAGAAAATGTGGAGTGAAATATATTCATAAGTGGCGTTTTTGAAAATTGATCATTGCGAGTTGATAATAGTCTAGAAAGCCCACCCAATCTTTTTGAGAAATGACATTGTTGGATGACAAATACCCAATGTAATGTCAGACAGTGCGTTAATGTCTTCGGGGTTCCATAAAAAGGAGATGTATAAACAAAAAACTGCGAACTTGGTATCTAACACACGAGTGTGCTAAGGCAGCTGAGATTTTTTTATTCGTGTTCAGGTCCATTGTGCCTTCCACAGAATAAAATAAACCAATCTGGTTCTACAAATTCTTTGTCCGAGTGATTATCCCACTTAAGGAAGAAAAACATATTTTGGCCAAAGTTTTGGAGTTTTTTGTTAAAAATTAACATACCTGATCACCGAGCTGGACAGAAAAGTCGAAAAACTGTGAGTTAATTGGTGTTTTGCAAATGACACCCTTTCTATTGCAAAAGTGAACCAGGAGACTTTGCTCACACTTGCAACCAACCAAAACAGCTTTAGGTAAGTGCACAATGATTGTTAAACGACGTTTGGACACATGTTGTGCACACCATTAATCAACAAAATTCTTTACTATATCGGGTGTTTTCATGATATTTACTTCGATCGTCAAAGTATGTTTGTGATCCGAGGACACCAATACTGTAAACAACAACGTTTTAAGGTAGGATAACCGCATTAGTAACCAGCAAAATTTATTGATCAGGCTAGAAAGGTGAAATGGCTTCCTATTCCGTAATAAAACTTCTTTAAAATTTCTTTATGTGCCATGTGACAAGTAAAATGCGCGATCAAATATTTCAACCATTGGCATAATGCAGTGTTCCCTATATTTCTGATGAAATAAATCACAAGGGTCATCTGTTTTATGACTTATCTGTCGGGAATTTCTTGCGAGTTATAGCTCAATTAATTTGGCCTGGCATCAACTAATTCAATTCTCTGCACATATATTTTCTTAAAACTAAATATTTAGCAAACGACGCAATTCATAAAATTATTTCACGGATTTTAGTGTATCCATGGCTCAAGCCCAGAAACGATGCAGGATATCACTCCAAAGCAAGTTTGAAATCAGTTTTTTATAAATCATCCTGCAATAAAGAATATTCTGCCAATTTTAGGATCAAATACCTCCTATTCAAACGGCCAACGAGAACCCAGCTCACTCGCAACGACTCCTGAGGACTGTTCAAATCCCCATGGACTCCGACATCACTGCAGCGGAACAGCTGTGGTGACTACCTTTCAAACGCAGAACTTGGCAAACACACTGCGATTTGAATTACGAGCAACCAGATTCTCCATCTCTGCATATACACACAATTATATGCAAAAACGTATATTTAAGTGTATGATTTGCGTACTACCTTTGAAGCTCACACACAAATTATCCTTCGTCAATGTCGACTGGAGAGAACTCAAGATAATATAAAGTTTAGGAAAACCAGGTAAGCAGAATATTTCACTTTATGTAAGCAACAGTCTGCAATAATATTCCCTGTATAGCATGAACAGCAGTTTTGAATAAAATCGCCTTTCTTGCAATACGTGAAACGATGACATTAGGGACCACGTCAGTTTCAATGTACGTACGCCCTATCGAACCGAACTAAAAGTAGATGATTCAGAACTGCCACGTAATATAGATTCAGCAAATGGCGCAGAATTTCCACGCCGCATGTTCTGCCTAGAAACACCAGAATTTTTTACTAGCTGTCCGGCGAAGTACGCCTAGGGATATATTAAATATTTACGTGGTGTTCATTAAATTTAAGCGCATTGCAACAGCAAAAATAAACGGTACCCAGTCGCTAGCACCGCTCTTGAATTCCGGGTCTCCCCATTTTGGTTTTTTTCTAAAGCACATTATCTCTGGCCGAATGAGTTTGGGTTTACCTAGTCTGTTACAAAAACATTTGAAAAAACAATACAACCACTGCGATCGGGCGTCGCTAAAAATAGAACGTGTCCCAATCCCGAGTGCTCAAAAGTACAATATCCGAAACACGGCTGCATAGTGTAAGCGCCGCATGGTTTTAACTGAAAGTCATTATTTTTTGATTGGTTCCGTGCTTTTTATAGGAACGACTACATCGTGCAGCTACATAACGAGGACATCTAAATATTCAGTAACTACTGCAGGCGAACAATGTGCTTTTAATTTCCCACGATGAATTTGTTTGTATCTCTAACTGACGCATAAGAGCTCCTGCATATGGTTAACAAAATAAAATCGAGGAGAACCTCGAAAAACCTTAAAGTGGGGAGGGAGCGAAAGTGTGTCTATCGTTTGCCTAATTTTACTTCCTAAGGGTTCCAGAATCGCGTTTACAGAGGGGTTTATCCTGCATCCCGGAAAAATTCTTCTTAGCCGGTTACCGGATGGGGACTGGCAAGTCAATGGCATGCTGATTTAATTACGATTGGTCTACGCAAACTAGCATAAAAATTTTGATTGGACCGTTCATAAAAGTGGACCGATAACTCGCACGCTAAGACAAATCGAAAAGAGCCATTACTGGCAGATCTGTGAAGATTTTTGATGCCCTAGTGCACCTGAAATTTGTGCGCCAGTATACTCGGAGCAGGAGAAGTCGAATTTTCGAGTCCCCTTCCGCACCCCTGCATAAGTGGATGATTAGACGAATCACAGATATAGCATTGCCAAAGTTTTCTGTGCATGAAATAACAAACAAACTCTTTCTTAAAGTACGATAAACAAAATGGTTACCTAGGCGTTCTGAATTTGGTTATTTGAAGCACTTCTTACTCGTTGCAGAAAGTCGTGCTTCAGATAGGTGCGCATAGCCAGAAAAAAGATGACACTCTGATTGTTATCGGCTGACAGGCTTGCTGCAGTGCTAGCGTAGGACCTATTAAAGGTACGCTTCATTCGACATACAAGGCATTTACCTTCTGGTACTTTCATGGCTACTCTTCTTTATACTCATTCTGGCATCGATTTGCGCAGTCATGTGTTCCAAGGCACATGCGCGTTGACTTTGCTAAATTGTATTTCATTAAGACTAAAGCATCGTTCATATATTTGAACAAGGCAAAGGCGACAGAGCATGCAGTATTTACTGACTTATAACTTTCTTCTATTTGCTTACAGTATGTAGTAGTATTTTGTTGGAGAAAAGTGGTCGTGGCTGTCACTCTAATTTTATTTAGTTTCCCTAAATTTAAGTAATTTTGATGATCATTGTATGTGTGGGACTCGTTGTTGTCAATGCGTTAATGAAACCTGGACGAGAAAATGAGTTTTGATTTTTTCATGCAAAATAAGTGAATGTAAACATTACAATTGAGGAAATAAGAATGTTGGATTTATTTTATCGTAATAAATCAATTATTTGCGTTATTGTCATTGCATCTACCATGTTAAAATAGATTTTAAGGCTCTTTATAATAAAAGGCGCTACAAATCAATAACATAGTTGCGCACGTACATTGAGGAGTGTCGATTCAAATTTTTATTACACATTCGATTGCTCCATCTGTTGTTTCATGGTATACGAGGCAGTCACAATAGAAGAAAAGTAGCTACGTTTTCCATATTTGTCATAAATCGAACATGTTTTCTTGATGTCAAAATCACTAGGCGCTTGACTAAAGAGTCCAAAAGTAAAAGTCCGAGTTTACAATTTTATTCGCTGTCAGGCGTATACTTTAAGAGTGAATCAGTATATATGGTGGAAAATGTCATTTTATTTTAAAAATAAGCTAAGGATAAAAGTATTAAAATTTTATTCTGATTTTTCGCAAAAACTGCGGCATAAGGTTCGGAACCGAATTTGAATACCGCACATGCTCTTATATTTCTGACTCTTCGAGTTGTAAGTGCTACTCAAGTAATTCCCCGTATTCCTCATGAGACCTCATAACATGATTTCCTCCAAATCCTGTCCAGTGTGGTAACCCAATTTTTTCTCCTTCAAAATAATTTTCTTCGCCTGCATTCCCTTTGCTTGTTTTACAAATATTGGAAATTAAAATCCTCTCATTCTCTCCCAGATTCTCGCATTCACCAGACCTTTAGCCCTCTTTACAAGAGCTGCCCCAATTGCATCCGGTTTCGCCAACAATAGTCTTGCAACCTATTGTTTTGCAGTTGATCTCAACATAATGGAGGGCTTGTACAGGACAGATTTTGTTTTGATGCCTTCAAACTGTCAAAATGACTCTTTTGTTGACAATAAGACTTCAGAGTTCCCAAATGGTATTAAGTCTTTCAGAACCCATGTTCGTATTTTTAACGTTATCACTTGAAGATCATTTTGCATCTTTGCACTCTGCATGCCAAATCCGAACGTAAAATATGGTTTAAATTTGTTATGAGGTAAACCCACAAATAATAATAATGTAAATATCTTAAACAAAGAATAATACGAAATGGAAAAAATCTATAGGATAGAACATTTCCTACTGTATACATTACTAAGCAATCGGCATGTCAGTTTTGCAGAATGATAAGCAATCTTTTCAACTGCGAAGTATGCAGTCGCGGCTGACATCCAGCAGAAGTTTTAAAGACAGACTAACGTTAAAATAATAAGTTAGTTTCAGTAAATTTTTAACATATTACATGACTGTTTAAACTCATTCAATAATCGCAAAAAACTGTGACATCCCAAAAATCTCGGTCCATATTGAATCCTATAGGAGCTCCGATCGCGTAGCTCATATCGTTTTCGCCGACGGGTCCGACGATTGGCTAGTATTCTATTGAAAACAGATATTTAAAAATGTGGTTCTAATGTAGCCTGCGCGTTCCCCTTATTATATGACCCTTACAGGTGAGGTATTTTATGAGTCATTTGTAAATTTTGATTGGCCTTCACAGTTGAGTTCATTATGTAAATCATTTATCTCAGTGAATTAAGGTATAAGGACTTTTTGGTTTGAAAATTGTTCTGTGCAGCGTGTTTGCTGCCAAATCGGAAAATATACTAAAGCATTAGTTTTGTTGCCGAAAGGTCATGGTCGCATAATGGAGTTGGTTACATATACACTTCACATTTCCTCGAAAAATGACGCCAATTTTGACTGACAGTTTTATTTATCTACCACTTATCCAAAAGCGCTAGAGTTCAGTTCATATGGGCTCCTTAAGCCCTATCTTCTAAAATTGTAATCGATCAAGCATATTTCTTAAATGTGTCAAGAGATTTGATGGGATTAAAAGCATTCCACAAGCTATCGGATAATATGGAGGTGATATATAGGCCTGCAACGACATTTCCCTTCGTTTCAGGGACAACATTTGCTAAGATGTTTTAGGGAATTGTTATTGTAAAGAGCGTGACTCAAGAAATTGACCTCAACCAGATCATTAGCGTTTGAACCCTTGACGCACTCTCTAACTTCTTGAAATGCCTTCCGGAAGGCTAGTTTAAAGAAACTTTTGAAAGCTTAGGGGCGAGGCGAGATTACTCAGGCCTGCGTCTTCCATAACAAGATATATTTTTTATATTTTTCCTAAAGTTGAGCACATTTTCGGGGAAAACGTCCTGAACTTTTTGCGAATTTCATGTTTTATCTTTTTATCTGTTTAGGGTCTCGACTGACAATGAAAAATTAGCCAGACGTAAGCCATAATAATTATTCAAAATGTAAAGATGGTTGACACGAGACAGTATAAACGCATAAATAACAGATGGCAAAAACACTAAACCTATAGTAGATGTGCTGATTTACAAAATGCTAGCCGAAATTTGAAGATGCGTTCTTCACTCGAAAATTGTAAGATCACTCAATATGCAACCTAATCCCACAACAATTCAGTTACGTCAGGATTAAGGCTGTGGATGGAACTTCTTTTCGGCCGCCTGAAAAAACCGCACTTTGTAAAAAATGACTACTTGAATAGTGTACGTTTTTCTCACTGACGTGTAATGCCCTTCAAAAAACAAACATATTTCATGGACAACATGCACAAAACATTAATATTTTGAATAATTTGGTGGAAACTTACGTCTACTCCAAATTGCATATTTGAAGAAGTAGAATTCGGTTTTACACAAGATTCAATTTTTAAGATTTTTTTAAAATCGTGAAATAACCGTTCTTAAAACATCGTGTCTATGCATTCACTAGTGCCACCTGTAAAATTTAAAACATGGCTCTATTCCATTGCTAAATTTTACGAACCCCATATGGTCTTTTCTTATCAACGCATAGACATATGTGATTTTTAAAACCGAACTATGCCAACTCCTTTAAGGATAAAATTCGC